CTATAGAAGAGGAGTCAGTGCTCTTAACCGCTGTACCATTTCTCCAGCCCCTATGGCCTCAAGTTTTTACATGAAACCCTGAGTTCTTGTGTTATTTTTGACAAATGTGATCATTGGATACAGTCTGTTCTAACTGGACTTCTCCAGGCCCACAGGCCCACTGACCGTCCCTTGTGCCCGGAGTACAGTAAGTTCCTCCCAACTCCGACTCTTCTTCCATTCTGATCCAGGGAAGCTCTTCAGAGTGCTTTAGGTACTGGGTCTGTGGAAGAACGTTGCTCCACAAAGATCCCAAAGTAATGGTGTTGGAGAGGTGGCTCAGTGGTTAAGAACACTGACTGCTTTTCCAGAGGACCTGAGTTCAATTCCCAGCGCCCATCTGGCAGCTTGTAATTGTTTGTAACTACAAGATCTGACACCCTCACACAGACATACATGCAGGCAAAACGTCGGTGTACATAAAATAGTTTTTTTTTTTTTTTAAATCCCAAGTCAAAGGCCAAAATATTCCTTGTATTCCCCTAACATCCTGGTCTCTATCATAGGTACAAGATCTTCTGGGAAGGAACATCACCTCTGTTTTCCATCATATCAAGTCAGTCCGTGTACCCCATTGCTAGGGTTTGAAGGTGTCTTCCAAATTTCATATGTTGAAAAAGTTAATCCCTAATTCATATATTTATAGTTGGGAGATTTAACAGGCGATGAGGTCATTAAGAGTTCTGTCCTCACGAGTAGTCTAAATCATTCATGGATCAATGGATGAATAGGGTGCCCTGTCTGGCCTCTGGCATTTTGTTGTAAGAACAGAAAATGGACTAAGACACAGAGCTGGCTGCAAAAGTGCCCAGGTAAGAACATGGACTCCAGAAGCAATTCAGCCAGAATGCCATTTACATCCGCTGATCTGTTTCATCCGAAAGCAATGCAGTATGTGACCACAGCCTTGAGTACCAGTTGCTCTCTTTGGACTGGCTGCAGAGATGTATAGGCAAGGGCCATATCCCGCACAGATTCCGTGGGCTCTTTCTTTGGCCACACGGCACACCAATATAATGGCACCAAGTTGTTGCTGCTGTTGTAGGAACCTTTGGCAGGGTAGGGTTTCACCATTTCTGCTATGTTCCACTTCTGGGGACCCAGGAAAGGATCCCAGGACTGGTCTAGATTGGGTGGAACTGTCTCCTTAGCATCAAGACATGTGTGTCCTTTAGGAAATGAGAACAAATGAAGCCAAGGAAAGGAGCCAAGGCCCATATCCTAGGAGGAACATCATGAGACAGGCCTGGCGGAGAGGGGAATGTGGGCTTTAATCAGGAAAATAGACACGACACCCAAGGGAGGGCAGGGAGAGCAATTGGATGCAAAGCTGGGCAATCAGAGGGGTTGGGGGTAAAGGAAGGTACAGAGAGTTTGAGGCATGGGAAGGGACCAACCTGAATGGTACCAAAATGCCCATTTAATTCTGGAGGCAGGAATTGGGGCACTTGAGGGAGCCCAGGGGTACCTGCAATACAAACTAGCTTTCCATCAACCACACTGACCTTACTGATGGCTCCCTCCCTTCCAGCTCAATAGGGACTAAAAGCTTCTGGGAGCCCATACAGGGTTAAAAAGGAGACATCAAACAAATGGAAGTTCCTAAGTGCACTTCTAACTTCAGAGAAAAATAAGATTAATCAGTGGGAGTAGGAACTTCTAAAGAAAAGAATCAGAACTCCTTCTCTGGCAAACAAAGCCCGACCCTCTCAGCAATCACCACTCTGATTGCAAGGGTCTCACTCAAGTGCCTGGAGAGCCTTTTACCGCTAAGAACTGCAGCACTTCACACAGGGGAATTACTCAGAATTCTGCTCTGGTCTACATCAGCTCAGACAAAAGCCTTAGACAGCTTTCAGGACACAGCGAGCACCACGAGTTCTGTTTCTTGGGGGAAAGAATAAGATTTTTTTTCCTGTTTTTGCCGTATTTAAAGATTTTTAAAGTATGGAATGAATTCATAGTCACTGAAGAAAATCTGTGAAACTCACAAAATGTCTACTGAACAAAACAAACGTCTATGTTCTGTAATCCAGACATAGCTTTTATTAAATGTTTTTTTTTTACTGTTCTTTTCCCTGTGGATACCTGTATTTTTCTTCTCCATACATATCAGGATCATATCAAAGAAGAAGCTCCCCGGTATTCTTTTCGTTTACCTCATTAGGACTAGTTCTCCATTGCCCCAACTAGTCCTTAAAATATACTTTTTAATGGTTCTGTAAAAATACCTTTTATGAGTATGCCATCACATATTTTAATCATTTTTTTACTTGGTGATCAATTAAATTGGTCCCATTTTTTTCAGTGTTTTAAGTAAGAGTCCAGTTAACATCGACGAGCGCCATTGTCTGACATTGCCCTGATTATTTCCCGAGAAACTCTTAGGATATTAAGATTTGAGGATTTCCAGCCAAGTAGTGGTAGTGCACACCTTTAATCCCAACACGGGAGGCAGAGGCAGGCAGGCCTCTGTGAGTTCGAGACCAGCCTGATCTACAGAGTGAGTACAAAAAGCAAAAAAAAAAAAAAAAGAAAAAAAAAAGATTTGATGATTTCTCTGTAGCTATTATAAATTGCTCAACAGACACACCTCTTTCTATGCACACTGGTTGTGTCTGAAGACGCTTATTTCATGAATCGCTGGATGCCATGTAGTTAACATTCTAAAAAAGAAAAAATATCTTTGGTCTGCTGGTTGAAAAATGAGACTTAGCTCTTGACCTTGTTAGACACAGCTTGCTATGTTTATTGAATGTTTTCTTCCATGGAATATCATTTGATATAATTTAGCCACTTTTCATTTAGAGAATAAATACTTCCCTTTAATTTTTGCTCCGGTTTTGACAGAAGCAGGATTGAAAGAAATCTCCCTGCAAAAAGCCTTTTGGCTTGTAGCTTGACACTGCCAAAGACGTCCACGGATGTGCACTATGAAGGCGAGGGTGGCTCTTCCTGAGCAGAGTCTCTTCACATGTGGCCTTTGGGCTCCACCCCAGTCACAAGGCGCGCCATATCAAAGAATCCACACTTTCATAACCTTGCTCTAAGCCTTATACGCTGCTCTGATTTGATAAACACAGTGGCCACTATGGTCGGTAAACCTGATATTTCCATGCCCACTGGAACACGAGTTAACAGTCTTACAAGGAGGTGAACTCCAGCATTGAAGGATAGAGGTTGAGTGTGTGCTGGGCGTTACATTTTCTGTCCTGGGATACTTGATTGTTTGTTCTTAAAACTTGATTTCCAAGTTTAAAGATTTATAGCTACCCATGACACATTCCTGTTCCTCACCCAGCTTCTCCCATCTCATGCGTAACCATCACTTCTCCTGTAGATGTCTTGAAGTTTCTCCTTTATTCTTTCTCTCCCCACCTCATAGCTTGGTTCCTTATTTCTCTCTCTCTCTCTCTCTCTCTCTCTCTCTCTCTCTCTCTCTCTCTCTCTCTTCCCCCACATTCGCTTATTTATTTTGTGAGTCTGCATGTGTGTGCATATGTGTGGAAGTCACAGACAGCTTGCAAGCAGCTGGTCCTCTCCTACCATGCGTGTCCCAGGGATTGACCTCGGCTCATCCACTCGGGCAGTCAGGACCCTCATCCACTTTACCTGCCCCGTTCTCAATTTTCTACCCCTAATTCCTGTGGCCACTCCAACTCTTAGCTGCACAGGGAAGCACACACTCTAAATATGTGCCTAGAAGCTTCCGTTTCCTACGCAAAGATCTGATAAATATTCTCCTACCTGATCCTTACTAATTTGTTGCTGTGCCCAATCTTTTATTCTAGAATGATGAGGGGCTGGGACTAGGAGCTGGGCTAAAGGACTACAGATAGCCAAGGAAGATGAGGGAACGCTTGACGGGCATTAAGGAGTAAACAAAAAGCAAGGGATAGCTATGCTGTTAGCCCACGGGCCTGCCTGTCGGAATAACTTGAACCAAGAGCAGGTTTCTGAAGCTCCTAAGAAGACAGGGTGTGGGAGCCCACGTTGTTAAACCGGTCATCTGCACAGACCCTGCCGCGGTTCGCGTGGGCGGTGTTATTCACACAGCCAGTCAGTATGAACACCCCAATGTAACCCTTCTCTACTCCCGGGGAAAAAAAGACTCGGAGCAAAGGACAAAGGGTTACTGTGCTGTTCCCTCCCTGTAAAAGGGAATAATAATTTTGATGGATTCGGTGGGACATTTAGGGGCCGAGTCAAACTGTGTGGGTAATTGTTTTGTAAAGGTGCTAGGACTTAATTTTCAGATCTGAAATGAGAACAGGTGGTGGTTGGTGGCAGGAGTCACAATGGTTTCCATGGCAACGGGATTGGGTTTTAGTCATCTCTCCCATCCTCCACAAAACGTACTGTAGCTTTCCTCATAAGGTGCTTATTAAATACTTGTTAAATGAATGATGAGCCACTGAACGGTGTGTGCTCTTTGCAATTAAGGCTGCCGTTCTTTAGCTAGACTAAAAGCTTTTAAAGCAACAATAATTACTGTGTTTACGCATGATATTTTGCATAATTTGCATAATAACTTTAACCTGCAAATAATAAACTGTGTACTCGTTCCACTTGAACAACCATGGCCCATATCATGTCCTCTGTCGTAGAAGAAGTAGCCCCGAAGTTTGGTTAAAATGGCTATGCGGGGAGGGGGGACACCCTGGCCTGAATTTGTGTTCTCATTTTGGCCTCAGGTCGGGCCCCTCGCCTCAGTTCTGCGCAGGCGCAGCCTTCCCCTCCCCCCGCGCCCTTCTTCCCGCTTTCAGGCAGGAGCTGGCCGGCAGGCCCCTGCACCGCAAACTGAGCTAGCGGGCGTCCCGCGTTGCCCTTGGCAACCATTGAGCGGCTCTCCCTCGCCCAGCCGAAACAGTAAACGGAGCTTTTATTGGCTGGCCTGGACAGCCTGGCCAATCGGAAAAGAGGTTACAGGGAGGCGGCTGAGCGGGCTGTGGGGGTAGGAAGCTAGATTAGTAGCAAGACGTGAGGCTAGAACCCCGAGCGTGGTCGGTTGGAGCAGATATGTCTGCCCGGAGGCACATTGGGAATCCTGAGGTGAGGGCCAAGTCCGGACCCGAGAGCCGGAGGGGGCGGGCGCACCGGAAAAGGCGCCACGTGGGCAGGGACGAACAGCCGGCCACTTCCGCCGCCTGGAAGGCGGGAAGTAGCCAGCGTGAGGAGGGGGCCGAGCGCAGGGCCTGGGGCGGGGCAGGCCTAGGCTCTGCGTCAGGAAGCGCCCTTGGTGACAGGCGTGCTCCCCCCCCCCCCCATGCTGACCTGACTGCAGTGTTGGAGGGTTGGAGGAGCCAAGTACGTAAAGACACAGCCCCTGCCTTCAAAGAGTTTATAGTCTAGGAGTGACACTTGCCAAACAAGTAAAAAATAAAAGACACTCCAGAAACATGGAAGGAGGTGAAGGGGCCCATCACTTCTGAGGGTCGGGATACAAGCAGACCAAGCCGTTGCAAAGGGAGCAAAATGGGATGCTTTCTGTTGTACCTTTTACTTTATTCATCTCGTTTACCTTCCGTGCCCTTCTGCATTTATAATGTCACCCAGTATGATTTGACTCTTACCAAACAAGTTCCAGACCTACAAAGAAAACAACCAAGTCTCCACCCTTTGTGAGTTCAGTCTAGAGATGGGAACTAAACTGGAATCGAGTACGATGATATTGGGGAAGATGTTAGAGGAAAATAAAACTCAGTTGAGAGAACGAGGAAGGTTCTGGAGTCGGAAGAGACCGACAGACACATCAAAGCTGTTCAGTAGTCAGGTGAAGAGCATGCTACTTAGCCCAGCACGGACAAAGCTACGGAGAAATGAGCTCCCACCAAGCCTTTGTAGGAGTCTATGGAGGCAGGTTGAGAGAGGCCTTCTGTGCCTTCAGACCAAACACCAGTTGTAGGTCTTTCTTGGCGAATGCCTGGTGTCCAGAGAAACTGTGACATGAGCTTTGGAGCGCCATGATAATAATATCTATTATTTTATGTTTTTGGTTTCTTGAGACGGGGTCTCACATGTAGTGCTGGCTGTCTTGGAACTTGCTCTGTAGACCAGGCTGGCCTCGAACTCACAGAGATCTATGCCTGCCTTTGCACCACCACCACTCAGCCTTGATAGTAAATACTACACAGTGTCGCTTCCGTTCTGGAATATAAAATATAAAATCCAACTCGTTGAAGAAGAAAGTAGAATAGCGGTCACCAGAAGTTGGGGATGGGGTACAAAGAGATGCACAGACGCTGGTCACAGGATAGCAAGTTAGTTAGAACTAAAAATTCTGAGGTCTGTTATACAGCAGGATGGGGTGATGACTGTCTTTACTAACTTGATTTGATAATTCCGTAGTGTGTGCACATCTGTACTGTGTCCTGTAAATAAATTTAAACGCTTAATGAGATGCATGTGATGGGGTGGGAGAGGCGGCTGTAGGGTGACAGCATCCTTCTGCCTGTTGGTCAGAACTCAAGAAACTTGGAAGAAGTTTTGGTAGTGTGGTCAGATTTGCATGTTAGGCACAATTGCAGCCACACCATGGAGGATGGAGTTGAGAAGGCCAAGGCAAGAAGCAGAGAGACTGAGGAGGTGGCTCTGTTGATGTGTGTCGAAACAGGGTCTAGGAAGTAGGGACAGAGTTAGGGAGACATAGGAGGGTGAACCCCTCCAGCAGGCACGATCACCCTCGAGAGAGGGCACTGAGATGGGTAACTTGGGTTCCCAGCTGGGACCACTCGTTGGTTCTCGTTAATGAAGTCAGGGATCCAGAAGGAAGAGAATGTTGGGGCGAGGGTACAAACAGTTGCTGGGTTTATGGCCTTCCTTGGGTAGAGGGCAAGTTTCCAGGAATCATGAGAAAGAATGCATAATTACTTTTGGAGCTAAAATGTAAGGCATGTCTAAAACTGTTTATATTCTACATTCACCTTTTGATTTTTCTTTTTCTCACTTGAGAGTGTGGCTGAGGATAGAATTCTTGATTGGAAACGTCAACATCTTGGAAACACTGCTCAGTGGCCCAGCAGCCAGCGTTTCTGTAGGAACCTCCAAAGCCGTCTTGTTGCTTTGTGACCTGCTTCTTTCAGGCAGCCTCCCTTTATTCCTGATGTTAGGACATTTCCCGAAAAGATCCTCGCTATGGTCTGTTTTCACTCTCTTTGGTAAACACCAGAAACTGGTATCTTTCTAGTCTGTTGTTTTTTTTCTTGAGTGATTTTATTGTCGACTTTATTTTCTACGTGTTCTTTCTTGTATTTGTTGTTTTGAGATTAGACCCATGGTTCTGATTTTTTCACTTTTATCTCCTGTCTATTTTTGTCTTTATGCTTTAAGAAATTTAACTTTATTTTCTAATTCTTATATTGGTTGTAATGTCTGCTGTGGTGTGTGTGGGAGGTATCTATGTGTGTCTGTGTGTGAGAGAGAGAATCACTGTGTGTGTGTGTATGTGAGTTCATGTGTGTGGGTATGTGGGGGGCCCTGTATGTGTATGGGGGTGTGTGTATAGGTCAGCAACCTCAGGTACTCCCCTGAGATGCTGTTCACCTTGGGTTTCTTGCTGTTGTTGTTTTGGTTTGAGACAGTCTCTCCTTGACTTGGGACTCAGCACTGAGCTAGGCTAGCTGGGCAGCACATCCCAGGGAATGGAAGCCAGGCCCTCATGCTTGGCCAGCCATCCTTTTACTGACCGAGATGTCTATGTCTCAGACCCGCATCACTTGTAAGAGCCGGTTTTCACTGTGATGTCCCTTTTCAAAGCTTTGCAGAAAGGTGCTAACATCGCGAGAGAGGTCTGTGCCTTTCGCTGTGCTCCGCAAGTGCGCGAGAGCTAGAGTAGTAAAGTCTGCCCGATCTGTGCGTAGGTGGAGGCTCCATATAGTCTACTTTGTGTCCGTGTAGAGCCGCAGTCACAGGGGAGAACTCAGCACCTCTGCCCCTCCCAGTCCTGCCCTCATCCCTGGCAGCCACAAAGCGGTTGTCCATTGCTGTACTTCTGCCATCTTGAGAGTGCTATTTGAATCGAATCGCCAATAGAAAAGCCAATTTCCAGATGGCTTTTTCTACTTAGGATGATGTCCTTGAGACACACGGGGTAAGCGTGCGTGCAGTCGATGCCTTAGTGATGACCAGTTCCTGTAGTTTGGATATTCAGTTTGCTCACTCATTAACTCGTTCAGTCAACATAAGACGTTGTGCTTGCTTCCAGTTTGGGACTATTAGAAATAAAGATACCTGTCTTTGGGTACAGCTTTTTGTGTGGGCATTAATTTTCATTTCTGTGAGATAAGTGGGAACCCAGTCGCTGGGTTGTATGGTAAGCATATGTTTAGTTTCAATAGAAAACACCATACTGTTTTCCATTCCTGTCACTAGTGAATGAGAGTCTTAGGTTCTGCAAAAACCTTGTTAACATCTGTTATTGTCATTGTTGTTACAGCTGCTCTCAGTAGGTACACAGTGTTATCTCATTGTGGGATTAAAAGAAAACCATTTGTGTGTGGAGTGCTTGTGTGCTATGGTATGTGTGTGGAGGGCAGGGGACAACCTGGAGGACTGGCTCTTCCTTACACCGTGTGGTTGGCAGGCTTGGCACTGAGTGCCTTTACCTGTTGAGTCATCTCACCAGCCCTCATTGTGGTTTTAGTCTGTGTCTCCTGAGTGGACACAAACTGGCAGTCTTTTCATGCGGTTATGTTATCACCTGTCATCTAGACAACTTCTTCAGCAAAATATCTTCGTGTCTTTCCCTTTTCTTTCTTTTTCCTTTTAATTTTAAGATAGGGTCTCACATCCAGGCAGTGGTTGCACACACCTTTAATCCCAGCATCAGGGAGGCAGAGGCAGGCAGATGTCAGTGAATTCCAGGCCAGCCTGGTCTACAAAGTGAGTTCCAGGACAGCCAGGACTGTTACACAGAGAAACCCTGTCTCGAAAAACAAAACAAAAAAAGATCGGGTCTCCCACTGGAGCTGGACAAACCTTGAACTCACCTTACTTCAGCCTCAGTGTCATGAGTGCTAGGAGTACAGGCCTGGGCCTCTCCATGGGGCTTCCTGCTTTAACACTTGAGCCCTGTGTTCCCTTTTCTTGCCATTGTTGCTGACTTCATAGATACTGTTTTGTAGACAGCTGATAATAATTAGAATTTAAATTCCTTCCTGCTTTTTGTTTTTCCTGGAGTTTCTGTCTGCCTTTACTTTGAGTCTACACTTCTTATGAATAATGTGTCTACAAATCATTATCACTGCTTGTAATTGTTACTATCAAATTTTATTTTTATTCTACTTTATATTTAGGAAAATTTCCTACGCCACTATCACTAGAATGTTTTTCATAATTATCATTTCCAAAACTTTCTCTCTACACATTTTATGTCGGGTGGCAAGGAGAGATTTATATTGTAATTTTATTTTACATAAATGTTGTATTGTACATATGGTGTTTTGACTTGCTTTTTCCCCCCACTTAACAATATGTCTTGAAGCTCTGGGTGCCAGCTGACTCCATTTCTGGTGAGGACTGCCTTCGCTTGTAGATAGCTACCTTCTTATGATGTCCTCACGGTGTATGTGAGGAAAGAGGCAGTTCCCTGGTATCTCTTTTTAAAAAGTTGTCTTGTGTTTTTTAAAAGTTTACTTGTGAAGTTGGGCATAGTGGCGCACACCTTTAATCCCAGCACTCAGGAGGCACAGGCAAGCAGATCTCTGTGAGTTCGAGGCCAGCCGGGTCCACATAGGGAGTTCCGGGCACTCAGGGCTACATAATGAGACTCTGTCTTTTAAAAAAAAAAAATTATTTATGGGTGTAGGTGTGGTATGTGCATGTGTACATGTTCATTCCTGTGTGTGTGTGTGGTCAAAACTCGACATTTAGTGTCTTCCTCTGCTGCTTATTTTATGAGACAGGGTCTCTCACTGAACCTGGAGTTCCTGGGATAAGCTCTGTTGGCTGGTCAGTGAGCTCCGGGAATCTGCCTGTCCCCATCCTGTTGCCCAAGTCTCCCACTGCTGGGGCCACAGATACATGCCATCCTGTCCAGCCTTTTACGTGAATGCTGGGAATTGGAGTTCAAGTCTCTGGCTTGCATGGCAAGCACTTTACCAACCGAGCCATCTCTCCAGCCACTGGTACTCTCTTTTTATAAGGACACTTATAAAAAACATCTTAGACGAGGTAAGATGTTTTCAGATTTCTTTTAGCCATCAGTTTTCGATTTATGTTTCTGAGTAGGCGATTTTAAAAGGTGATTGAGATATTGAGGTTTTTTGTTTTTCATTAAGAGGCCCGCTGATGGGGAGCTACAGATGGTGACATTTACCAAGATGGGCAAGAAATAATTGCCTTGCTCTCGCAGTGGTGTGTCTGTGTGGGGGTGTGGTTTGGAGAGCCAGCTCCAGAGAGCTTTCACCAGCCCTTAAGCAGCCACTCCTTTAGTCCATTGTGGGGATGCCGGAGGCGGCCCATTCTTTGGCCTTTTCAAGATTGTTCTTGGCTTTCCCTGGCCCTTATTCTTCAGCTGTCCTAAGTCTATCAAGTCATTTTCACCTGTTGATCTCTAGTGATATATGGCTTATTCCTCCGCCAGCCACTTAATTACTCATTCCCTAGGGTTCCGCCTTCTCCGTCACTAGCCTCTCTGTGGGTTTGAGAACTCTGGGGTTTGATTGCTGCCATTTCTCCCACTCTCTGGACTCGGCATTGTTTAAATCCTTAAGATAGTTTTTAATGAAGTCTTACTGAGGTTTTGGGAGGGAGTGAAGTTAGTGCATCCATCCAGTCTGTTCTCTGTTCCAGTTTATCATCATCTACAGTGATTTTATGGACATGTTTTTCTGACATGCTTGTGAGAGCATAGGGACCTTAAGTCACCTGCACTGCTCTTGTCAGGCATGGTGGTTCACAGATACTTTTGAATAAATGAGCATATGTCTAAAGCTGAAAGGAGAAGCTAAGGGTAAAATTCCACTATTTGGAGATTAGAAGCCTATAAAAGGAAGTAAGTCTAAGTCTTTGAGTCACAGGGAGTCTATTGATTGAGGAGGTGGAATCCTGAAAAACACAGTAATTAGGGAGCTGACAGAGGAATGAGTCATGTATCAATGGAACGTCAGGGGAGAGAGATTACTGAAGCCAATTTCCGTAGGAACAAGTGTGCTGTGTTTCATTATATTCTATCATGTGGTATAAAAGGATTGAGAAAGTTCAAGGAAAAATATCCATTATATTTGGCAAGTAGATTTTTGATGTTTGGTAGCGGGCATGAGAACTACAGTCATGTAGTGCATGCCAGTAAAGTTCAGACAGTGTGGACTTTGGCCATTGTTAGCCCTAAGAGACTTGGCAGAAGACGTGAGGGTAGGGCACTACTCCTGGTATATGTTGGTTTGTTATGAATAGTGCCCTCATTTAGTGACTTGACAGGAGCCCTTCTGCCATTATCTCTTCTGGCTCTTAGCTCTGCTACATGCTTATCTCATGAAAGCACATGTGATTTTGCAGACAGCCTGAAGTTTTCAAACACTCCACTTCCATGTGCGTCCATCAGTGCTGTCTGTTGACTGGAGCTAATACTCTCCTACCAATGTCCTTTTCCATATGGACTGGACTTTCCCATACTTGGTGGCTGAGTCCTAAGAGCAAGTGGCCAAGAGAACCACTTTTACCATCGCAGCTTAGATGTCATACCCCAGGCTCACCCGAGTCTAGAGATGAGGGAAGGCCTAGGCCCCATCCCTCAGACAGCAGACAGTAAAACCACAGTCTAATGGGATGGGAGATTTTGACTCCATCTTGAAAAATACAGTTTGCCATAGGTAGTAGCTACTGATAAAGTAGGTATTGTTGTACATGGAGTCTTGGGCCAAGATGATTGTTTGATATTAACATAACTGGTCCAATTAAAACACCTATTTTAAAAGTTCCTCTTTGAAAAACCTACTTTAATATGTGATTAGCTCAAGACCAGTATTCACCCCCCCTCCATTTGTGAATATAAAAGTAGGATGGATCTGAACAAAATGTACAGTGTCTTTAAAAAAGAATGAAGGGCGCCAAACAGCATGTGAGACCTGGTTTGAGAGATGGGAAGTCAGAAAAGCACCTGTGGTCCAGACAGCTTGCTGCTGCTGGTGTGTTTTGTTCTGTTGTAGTGTTCCTTCAGAAAGATGCCATTTCGGACGTCTCGTTAGTCTTTCTTCTCCCACATTCATATCCTCACAAATCTGTATGTCGGTATGCAAAGAAGAACACTGCTAAAATTCTGTCGTGATTGTATGCCTCACACCTCGGTATCTTCACTGTGACCCATTGTTGAAAGGACTAGTCCTCACTCCTAATCTATAGTCAGGCTTCTCCATTTGAAGCCTCACTCTCCAGGTCCAGCGTTGTCTATGGCCCAGGATCCCACATCCTGATGGTTATTGAGGTCTTGGGGATTACATACTCCTTTGGAAATTTGGTGGTTGCCCAGGACCCTGGCAGAGACAATGCACACACACAGAATGTTTCACAGAGCTTCCTGGATTCATGGAAACTTACCAGTGAGCTCATGTGAAGACCCTGGCAGGAGTTCAGAGTCACAGTGGCTGATGGTTAAATGAGACGAAGTACATAAAATGCTTAGTCAGATGTCAAACACCATAGGACATGCTCACTAAAGGAGGGGAGCAATTGTCATTCTGCTGAGTTTCCGCTTTCTTCAGCAAATAGGAACAGTTTGCTTTTCAAACAGTCCCTTAAAATGGCTTTGCTAGTAGAATTTATTTCCACTTGGAATACTTTTTCCATCCCTGTTATCTAGTACTCATTCTTCCAGGAAGTCTGCCTTTTCAACCCAGTGTCTGGGCTATCTTTTTTTCAGACTTCTAAGAGTCTTGAATGTTGAACTACTCTTATGGTACCAGAGTGTGCTTGGGCCTTCATGTTTGTTTGTTTGTGGGTTTTTTGTTTTGTTTTGTTTTTTGTATGTGTGTTAGCATGTGTGTATTGAGTTGGGTTCTTACAGAGTGTGCATGGACCTTCATGTTTGTTTGTTTGGTTTTTGTTTTTGTATGTGTGTTAGCATGTGTGTATTGAGTTGGGTTCTTACAAGTTGTCCTAGAACTCACACCTTTCCCCCAACCCTCCAAAGGAGCTGGGTTGCAGGTGTCTGCCACTGTGCCCAGTTTCAGTGTATCTGGCAAACACTTCCTGCTGTTTTGTTAGCACAAGGTTCTCTGACAGGTCCTGATGGTGTTCAGGGCAGAGCCCCTTTCCCAAGATGGACTATTAAGGACATGGAGCCAAATGAAGCCTTCCCTCGTGGGGTGGCTCTGTGGTCATGGTGTTCGTCAGAGCCACAGGAAAGTGACTAAGATAGTGCACCTTAAAGTGTCTTGGACACAGCTGCTTATTTCCAAAAAGCCTGTAGTAATTTACAAACACCAACTTTCTCAATTTCCTGCCCGCTCATGATGAGCTTTATTATAACCATGGATTTTTTTTTAATATTTATTTTAAATATGTACCAAAAGCTGCCCCTTCCACCTGAACTCTGGGCCTCTGCCCATTTGTCTGTACACATCCTTAAATCTCTCCTTTAACACCTCCCTCACCCCCCCCCCAAAAAAAAACATAAAAACCGCACCACAGAGAGGAGAGAGGCAGGGAGAGGAAAAGGGAGAGGAAAGAGAGTTCACCTTGACAAGTCTCCTTCCCCACCCCCATAATTTACCTATTGTTTTTGCTTCTGCCCTTCTTACTCTCCTTTAATTGCTTCCGTCTAGCCCCATCAACAATGTCCTGATTTGTAAATCCAAATTTACTTTTCTGTTCTGTTAATTGACCTGGATTCTTGTTTGTCTGTTCTTGCTTGGCCTCTTGTTCTTGGATTTGACAGCTTTGTTCCGTGTTGACTCCTTCCTTCTTCCTGTAAATCTTTTCTCCTAGTTTTTGTAATTCCTTTCCTTTGGCCTCTCCTGCATCCCAGCCAGGGCTCTTCCCCACCTGACTGTCAAGGTTGGGAAATGTCTTCCTAGTGCACACTGTTTCTAGAATGATTTTAGACAGTCCCCCTGGCTTCATAGCCTATATATGAATAATTCCCAAATTGTTTTTTAACCTAGTTTTCTCCTGATCTCGATGTCCATATAGTCAGCTGGACACTTCTATTTTTGATAACCTACAAACATCCCTGCTTAATGTCCCCAAACTTCCTACATAATGTTTTTTCCATATATGCTTCTCTTTTCACTACTTTTTCTGACGGTTATGGTGCTACTGCCCTCTTTTTATGGTGGTCCATGAGTAGCCATGTTGATTTTACATGTTAAAGATGGAGGGGCAGGCACTAGGCAGAGCTACAACCCCAGCTTCACACTGCAAAGATTTCTCAAAACCTTCTTCATCTCTGTGCTGCTACTTTTATAAGGCTTCCTTGTCCTCTTAGCATGAGCTTCTCCGCTGATTTTTGTGCCTCTTCTCTTGACTATGATCATATTCTCAATATTGTGCAGATAGATCATCCCAAAATGTAAATGAGCTCTCACCACGCCTCCCTAAACCTTCAGTGGCTCCCAGTCCTCTCCTCTTGGGCTTCTCAAGCTCCATACTGTCGACATCTGGGCTGGCTCTTGTCATAGGATGTTCCCCAGTCTCTCATGCCTTTTCCTAGGAAACACCAGCAACACACCCCCACCACCACCACCACCCCCACCCCCACCCCCCCCACCACCACCACCACCACGACTCAGTTGTAACAACCCAGATGTCTCCAGACCTTGATAAATGTCCCTGGGTACAGAGCTGGCAAAATCACACCTATTGGAAACCACTGATTGACAGGACAGAAGGCAAAGTGCCTTAGGTTTTCTCGATAGAAGGTCCTCTGTGATCTGCCCCCGCCCTGCCTCTCCAGTGCCATTTGTCCTCTCAGAGTCCCCAGTACTCCATGCCTTCCAGTGTTGACTAGCTTTCTTGAGATGTCACCTACACTCTGTCCTCACGGTTCCCCTGGGCTTCTCTATTATTGGGGCCTCATAGTGCCCACACACCACTGTTTTCACTACCCACCATGACCCTCAGAACTCAGCACTCTCTCGGCAGCACTTCTTGACTCTTGGCCTTGTTAAGGTACTAGTCTCACGTGTCCCCATCCCCCTCCGTTCCCTCTCCTTGTCACATTGACACCAAATAGCTGCAGAGAGCAAGGGGTGATGGCCAGGCCTGTTTTTACCTCTGCATTCCTCAGAGGGACCTGCATCTGCCAGGCCCTCAGTAATAAATGTCCCTGGAATGAAAGGCACTCACTAAGTGTTTGTAGAAGGAATGAACAGTCTCTCTTGAACCGGCTTCTGGTCACAGGCCTTCCACTTCCCACCATTCCAGCCTGTGTATATCATGGAAACAAAGCCAGTTGGTCAGTAGGTCAAGAGGCAGCCATCCCCAAAGCAGGAGTTTTCAGGAAGAAAGTGTGGCTCTTCCTCAGATCCTAAGACACTCTGCTGGCAATGTAGCACACAGAGCTTACTGTCCATGCAGGTCCTAGAAAGGACTAAGAAATGGAACAGAAATGAGAGCTTGGGAAAGAAATCTGACATTTTTCTCCAGCGGCATATGGATTTCTCATTAGTCCATGTAAGGGAAAACCGGGGGTGGGGAGGCCTCCGCAGCTGCAGCTGTCCACACTCCCTCCCTCATCATTCTGCTGCCACCACACCTGGTCCCCTGAGGCGCCCTCACGGCTCAGCTATGTGGCCGAGGGATGGACAAATATCCATGGTTCGGCAGAGACTAGCCTGGAATTTTTCAAAAGAAGCTTTGCTAGGAAACAAAACAAAAGTAAAAACAGGAACTAGGGTATAGAAATGATAAAAATATAGACTTGGGGGAAAAGTCCCTCAGCTGAAGCTGAAGATAAGTGAGACGTGTGTGTGTGTGTGTGTGTGTGTGTGTGTGTGTGTGTGTGCGCTGGACTTGCTTCCCTGTTTAATTTTTCTTGGTATTGTCTGCCTCTGAGAACTTGGCCTCCAGTTTCTCTCTGTGTCTGCGCGCTGTTCTTTCTCTTAAGAACTGTCTCCATCTTCATCTAGGGAAGGTGTTGGAGCTGGCCTTGTTCCTTGCTCTTCTAGACAGCCATCACTGCTCACAACAGGAAGCCAGTTTTCCACCATATTTCTGAGGCTCAGTCAGCTCAGTGATTGCAAACACTAGCAGCGGATCCGTGCTCAGTGTTCATAATAAAGGTTTTACTTGCCTGGTGTGAAATGAAAAACACAGACAACGTCATTGGCTTTTTAATAACATGAAGGAACTGACCTTTTACCCTGCGGGCTTTTTTTTTTTTAACCTTTTAGGTAATTGAAATAGCAGATGGTGGGGCTGGCGTATAGTGGTATAGTTTGGTTGCCTAGCATATGAGAGGCCCTGGGTTTGATCCTCAGTGTTAAAAAAAAAATAGCAGATAGATTATGTGTTATACCATTTAAAAATTAATTTAATTAAAAAACAAATATACTTACCTAAAAAATAAAATGGCAAGTGGAAGTTGTGAGGATTTTGTGTACTTACTTGGCAAAATTTTAAAAAATTAAAAATGGATAATTCTCCATAGGTACCCCCAGTTTTGTTTTGTTGTTTTTTTTTTTAAATTTCACTGTGTATGTGCACAGATGCGTGTATGTAGTGTTAAGGCCATAGGACAACCTTCCGGAGTTGGTCCTCTCCTTCCGCCATGTGGGTCTTAGGGATGAATGCAGGTTATCGGGGTTGGTAGAAAGCACCTTTACCCACCAAGTCATCGCTTTGGTCATACTGCCCTCAGTTTTTAAAAATTTTTCTTGGGCTCTGATTGCATAAATCATAGAAATGCTAGGCTGTTTCTGTGCTTTGTAGGCCATTCTGAAAGGTGTGATTTATTTCACAGTCCCCCCCCAACAGCATGCTTGTCACTCGCTGTTAGCTAAGGCAAGTGATCCAGTCTTTCTAAGTTTGACATTCTCCCTTAGGAGCTAGGTAGTATAGTTCAGTCCTCAGACACATAATCAGCGACTTAGCATGTACTGGGTCCCACAAACATGAGCAACGCATTGTCCCTGTCTTCAAGAAAATCCCAAACTAGAGGAGAAGATCTAAATGTGGAGGATGGGATGGGGTTCCATATTCTACAGGCCAGGAGGAGAGTGTCTCTTTCTGCCTCAGGCAGCTTCACGGTGGACAAAAGTTTTGCCAAAGAGAAGTTGAGGAAAAGCACTCTTGGCAGTTATCTGCCTGAGCTGGTGACGTTAGGAGGGACAGTCCCCACCGATGCAACATGGGATCGTGTGCAGGAGATGAAGGTCGGGGGGTCCCTTGTCCATAACACATGCTTTTCATATCCGTAGACTAGAAACAGGTCAGCGCAGACACTCTTTATTCTGAGCTTGCCCTTCCTTACTGGCTTCTGCGTTCACCTCAGGGATTTACCATGGGGGATTGTCTGCACTTGGATTCCAAGGGTTAACTACCAGAACATAGCACAACACACGGCAAATCTGACACAGACATCTCTGCCGACCGTAAGTTCACCCTGAGCCCACATGAGCCTCAGCTGCCACAGAGCAGATGCCATGGCAGTGACATCTGTGGAACCCCAGAGAGCCAGCCAGCATCTGGAGCATCTGGATCCAGCCCGCCACACTGTAGGGAGCTGTGGATAAGACCTAGGAGTGTCCAGAGGAGATGGCCCTGAAGCCGTCATAAAAAGAATGACATTAAAAGGGAACCAGCATAGTACTTCATTGGAAGATAACCTTCCTAAGGTATTTTTTCCTTAGCACACAGCACTCTGAGATTATTTTGATAAAATGTGGAAATGTTTTCATAGGAACAAGGTAAACTACCTCCACTGGAGGAAATGTACTGTGAGCCCTTTCTATAAAGGCTCTGACCCTCTGAACCTCATTTGTCACTAGAACCTGAAATTTCAGCGTGTGTTCCTCTTCCCACCACAATTCTCATGGTAACCCCTTCCTTGTGAATTGTCTTCTGTTGTAGTACCTGACCAGGCGGATACCACAGAACCCAAGGTATCAACATATCAAGTCAAGACTGGATACTGGTAAGTCACAATCAGAAGCAGAATTGTAAAAATCTAATAGCTATTGATAGACAGGAGAGAGCCCATCAAACTGGGGTCAACCATAGCTGGAAGTTTCTTATTGTCTTGCCTGATGTCTTTGAAAGCTGTTTTTTTTTTTTTTGTTACCAGTAAAATTTCACACTCACGTAATTTCAGTTATTGTTGCTTACCCCATTAAAATAATCTAAATCAAGAAAAGGAAATCATCGGAATTGAAGCCATTGTTGAATAAGTTACAGGCCTGACGCTGAGTAAATACCAGGAGGTCACAGTCCATTTTGGAGCACCTTAAGTGTACTCCATCAAACTGACAGCAATAGATTATACATGTGCGTGTTTGTTCAGTCCAGTGTTTGCACAGTGCTGACTGCATGTAAAAGTGTGGACTCCGCTAGATAGGAGGATGGCTGTGGGTTGTGGCTTTTGCAATTAGAGCACCGAGACTCAAGTGAAGGCTGACTGGCTTGAGAGAAACTAAAATGCCAGCCGAGAGTGATTAGAGCTGCCCCTAGGTGAAAGTAGTTGCAAGAGAACCTTGCTAATTTCCATACTGTCCGAATCTCTGCCGAGTTCTGCTGATGCTGATGCCCAGATCTCAGTGGCTCTGCAGTCTTGTGAGGTTTGAGTTGCTTGTTTCTGTTCTCTTCAGCCTTTCCCTCGCAGTTCAGAATTTCTCTGAGGTGTCTGAAGCCACCTGAGGAGAGTGAAGGGGAGGGTCCCCTCCGTCTAAATCTTCTTCCCTTGCTCCAGTCGCTCTTCCATTCTGCATTTCCTAACTAGCATAGATACAAATGTTTTCAGTACCAGATTTGCACGTACTATTTCTTTGAAGCATCTCCATGCTACACGGATATTTATTATTGCAAATATTTTGTGTGATAGGCAAATGAAAATATTATTACTGTTCCAAAGGAGAAAATCATGACCTGGAGATTTTGTAATTTACTCAGATTTCAGTGAAGGAGATAAAAGCTAGGGTCTTTGACAGGGTGAGGAAGTCAACACTGGAGAGTGGGTCCCAAGCCTGATGGTCTGGCTCTTAGACTTCTTGTCCTGTGTATCACCCCCACCCCCCACCCCCAGTGTTTCTTCTGCCACAGTATCCTCAACAACTCCAGCTTCCCCTCAATAGCAAGTCATCCATCTTTCTGGAAGACTCACAGTGCTATAGTGTTGTAAGGGGCTCGTCTCTTTTGTTAAAAACCACTGTAAATAAATGAATTTCAGTCAAAATCTTTTTACCTCTGTACGTTTTTGTGCTACGGATCCCTAAGTGTCTTGGAACAGGCCATATAGATCAGACGAGCCTTGAACTCACAGCGGTCTACCCATTACTAGAAATTAAAATTTTGTCTTTTAAAGGAATGGGAGTATAGCTCAGTGGTAGAGTACAGGTCTAGCATTTGCTAGGCCTTGGGTTCTATTTCTTGTGCCACAATAAACAAGCAAAATTTAAGAGCCCAGGTTTATTTCGGATATCTAGATTTATCTATACCTACATAAAGTTTTTCTCATGGAAATAAGTAGGAATTTGTACCACCCCTGTATATCTCTTCAGTTTAATCCATAACAAAAATTTGACTTAATAATGGCATCTGAAATTAATTTTAATTTTTAATGTAATACATAGCATCTGATTTTGTTGTGCATACTAAATGCCAGAATCCTTTTATATCCCACGAGTTTTAAATTGCTTTTTGTTAATTAAGCTTTTTATTTTGAACTAATTGTGGATGCAGATGCATTTGTAAGAAACAAGATGGAAATTCTGCATACTCTTTGCTAGTTTCTCCCCGCCTGCACTATTGCTATGGTGATAACAGCATCGACATGTGCAGCCAGGCTATGGGCTACTGCCGTCCTCACAAAGATTCCCATGTGGTGCTTTAGGAGCCCTGCCTCCTTTCCACTCCCATCCCTCTCTAATCTTCACAACTGCTAATTTTTCCAGTCTGTCATCCTGTCATTGTCTTTTCTGAGCGCTACATCTGTGGAGCTGTACCGCATGCAGCATTGCGGACTGTGCTCTGCTAGTCTTCTGTTTCTTCTCCTTGCTTTTATCCGTGTGGATCCCGGACGGGGGAGGGGAGAGTCAACACGGGGCCTTACACTTGCTAGACTGTGGCTCTACCACAGAGCCATGCTGTCCAGCCTGGGTGGGTATTTTTCACTGGGCAGAATTTTCTGGAGCTTCAAGTTTGTTGTGGGTAGCAGCAGTGTGTTCTTTGTGTTATTGCCTAGTATTCCCTGGTATGGCTGTACTTGGCTTAATCACTTGCTAGTTGAAGGAAATTAGCACTGTTTCCATTTGGGGGATAGTTACAAAACAAAAATAAAAAATAAAGTGTTGTAGGCATTAGTTTACAGATTATTTTTGTGTATGAGCAAGTCTTAGTGATTTTTTTTTTTTGCCTAGAGGCAATTGCTAGGTCATAGTTTATAGTTTGGTTTGAGTCGGTTTGTTTTGTCTCTTTTTGAGACAGAGTCTCATGTGGCCCAGACTAGCCACAGACTCCTTTTATAACCAAGACGGGCCTTGAACTCCTGATTTTCCTGCCTTTGCCTCCTGGTTGTAAGAAACTGTCAAACTATATTCCAAAGTGGCTGTACCATTTAACGTTCCCACCAGTAGGAGATGCATGACCATTTTCTCCACATCTTCACCTGTATGTGGCGGCGGCGCCATCTTTTACTTTTCCTGTACTGATAAGGTTTGTAGTGGTAGTATAGCATTACAGTTACACTCACCGGCTAGCGAATGAGGGCTCTTTGTTTCCATGTGATTCTTTTCTGTCTGTCTGCTTGGCTGAAATACCTATGCTGACCAGGTTACTTGCATTTTTGCCATTGAATTTCCAGTTTCTTCTGGATTCTAGATGCTCACCCTTTGCGAGAGGCATAGTTTATAAGTATCCTTTCTTCATCTGTAGCTTGTCTTTTCCTCCTCCTGGCAATCTTTGAAGAAAAAAACCTTTTTATCTTGACGAGGTTCGCTTTTATCTGTTTCCTTTTAGTAATCATATTTCCAATCATCCACTTTAAGAACTCCTGACCTGCCGGGCGGTGGTGGCGCACGCCTTTAATCCCAGCACTCGGGAGGCAGAGGCAGGCAGATCTCTGTGAGTTCGAGACCAGCCTGGTCTACAAGAGCTAGTTCCAGGACAGGCTCCAAAACCACAGAGAAACCCTGTCTCGAAAAACCAAAAAAAAAAAAAAAAAAAAGAACTCCTGACCTAAACTATATCCCAGAGATGCTTTCTGTCACAATTTTTTTTCCTTAAAGTTTTTAGGTTTTACATTTAAGTCCATGATACATTTTGAACTGCTTTCATGTAGGGAGGGCTGACTGAGATGAAGATTAGCTTTCTAATTTAGGGTCTCTGACTGCTCTGGCATCTTCATCAGTGTCAACAGTCAGGAGAATATTTATACGGGTTTATTTACAGGTCCGTGTTTTGTCCCCGTGATCTGTCTGTGTAGCCTTTTGCCAATACCACAGTCTTGATTAATGTGGCTGCATAGTAAACTGGATACCTAGAATTGATTAGCCTCATTATTCCCATTCTGTTTTTCTTTACAAAATTATATTAACTAGTCTAATTTCTTTGCTTTCCCATATAAATTTTAGAATAATTTTCTTTACATTTGTAAAAGGGCTGATTTTTATTTTGTTTTGTTTTGGGTTTTTTGAGACAGAGTTTCTCTGTGTAACAACTCTAGCTGTTCTGCAACATTTTGTAGACCAGGCTGTCCTCGAATACAGAGATCCACCTGCCTCTGCCTGCCAAGTGCTGGGATTAAAGGCATGCACCACCACACTGCAAAAAGGCTGGTTTTTAATAGCAACTATTTATCAATTTGTAGAGAACATCTTGACTATGGTGAGAACTACTGGTCTTTTTCTGTTTCTGTGATATGCCTATTCTGACCATTCATATACGTGGAGTTGTATGTGGCCTGTTGTGTCTATTCCCTTTGACATAGTGTAATCTATCAAGGTTTATCCATGCCACAGCAAATGTCAGTACTTTGTTCCTTCTTATTGCCAAGGAATGGTCTATTGTACAAGTATTCTGTTTGCTTCTCTGCTCAGCAGTTGATGAACATTTAGATTACTTATAGTCTTTGGGCATGGTATGTCTAAGAACATTACATATGCAAGTTTTTCTGTACATATGTTTCTAGTTCTCTTGGATATTGAGGACTTGAATTACTGGTTATACGATACTTTTTTTTTTCTTCTGAGAACATGCCAAACTTTTCTAACCAAACCACACCAGTTTACCTTGCCATCAGCAGTGCAAGAGGGCTGTGTCCCCTCCACATCTTCACCATTGCTTTGTCCACCATCATGGGCATGAAGTATCTTCTTGTGATTTTAATTTGTGTGTTTCTAATGACTAATGATGATGCTGAACGCCTTTTTTTTGTGCGCTTATTGGCACTTGTTTATTTTCTATGGAAAAATGTCTATTCGGATCATTTGTTCATTTTAAAACTGGTTATTTTTCCACATTTTAAGTTCTTTTGTTTATTCTGGATACTAGACTCTTAACAGAAATATGATTTTCAGATGTATGTTCCTATGCTGTGGTTTGTCTGGGGTTTTTGTGGGACTTAGCTGGAGGAATAAATTACATCTACCCATCTTTCCTAGAAGCAAAAGTCTCTCAAACTAGTTTTGTAATAGCTTTTGGAAGAACCAAGCGTGCCTTATTGCTTCAAACTCCCAAGTACTTTATAGTCAGTGTGGGAGAAAAATCCTCTTCTAGCATTTGGTTTGTGTGTGTGTTTCACATTTAGCCATCAATCAGCTTCAGGGAGAGATCTTTAATGTTTACATTTCCATGTATTTTTGTGACTTAGCTCCCTGGTGTTCAAACCCTGTGGGTTACAGGCTAAGATGTACAGCCTGTCAGCCTTTGGGGGCTATCAAGGTCTATGGGAGCCCTAAACGCATCATTTTGCCCAAAGGTTAGCATTGCCATAGGTGAAAACGTTGAGGAGTCCTGCTTAAAAAAAAAAAAAAAAAAAAAAAAAAAAAAAAACACTAGAGGAAACCTTAGAGCCCAAGCTGCAGGGAGAAGGGCTCACTGAGCACAGCGAGAAGGGCTCACTGAGCACAGATGTGTGCTTAAGCTCTGTAGCCACAGCTGTGGAAATGGGCAGACTGAGTGGGCAGCTCCCATGTCCAGCATAACTAGGTGAGCCTTTATTCTTATCTTCTGGAGTCTGACCTCTTCCTCCTGAAGGAGGCTGTTGGGTCTCTGCTCCTGACTCCAGTTCTCGAGGAGACCTGCGCCCTGCAGTACAGCTGTGGCTGACAGCAGGGCTATGCTGAACTTTCAGTATTTCCTTTGTTTCAGAGGTACCTAGGTATATCTCTTCAGCCCCTTCCATTGCCAGAATATGCCTGGAGTGGGCTGGCTTTGAGTTACTTTGCTCAGTCCCAGCAGCAGGACCCTGTGTGTTGCAAGCACCCTCTCTGGGTTTCTGTTTCAGCTCTGCTTCCTTAGGGCCACTCTAAACCGCCCGGCTCTCCCTGGGCTAGTCTCATCTCTCATGGTCGCTGCATTGTTGTCTCCCTTCTATTTTCAGTCTAACTCTCGTTTCTTTAGCTTCCCTCCTCCACTTGGTCTTTTCTAGCATGATTTCTTTATTTTTGTGAATGTCACCTTCCTTTTGTTGCATCTGCACAACTCATCACTTCCTTTTCTCTCTCTTAGTCACTCTTTTCGCTGATGATTCACTAATAGTTTTGATCTTAAGCACTCAAGCTCATTACAGGCTACGTGCGCTTCATTTTCATTTGGTATTTGATTTGTCTCTTACGTCAAAGGAAGGAATGTATGTGAAAGGCTTTTACAAACCAGAAAGCTGTAGACCCACGTATAACTGATCTGGGTTAACAAAGGACCACTGTGCCTCTTTTCACGCTTCCTGCTCCTTCTGAGCCAAAAGAACTTCTCCATAGAGGAGGAAAATATTGAAGAAAAAAATAAAGCCGTGGAGCTGTCTCTTAGCAACTGAATTCCTGCCTTATAAATCTTGCCCTCTCTAGATTACTGCTGCTCAGAATCATTTGCTTTTGTTACATTCTCAGTACAAATAACGTTATTAAATTATAGGAACACAATGGGGGAAAAAATCAAAGCAGTGAGTCACTCCGTGAATCGATTGTACTCTGTCTTTGCACAGGGCTACTGATAGAATTGGGTTGTTTCTTTCTCTTGATTCAAATTGTAGAACTCTTGTTAGATATCTTTCATTGCAACTTCAGTGGTAAACAAGGTAGAAACTAAATATCACCTTAGGCATCTTTTAGGCTGCCTGAGTCGATGGCTCCTATGTGTACTCTGTTGCGTAATTGTGTATCATTAAAGTTGCACGTCATCTAAAGGAAATCAGGAGATCGGATATATATGAAAGGCAAGGCAAATCAGCATGTGATGATTTACATTACAAAATAACTTTCTCTAAGGACTTTTCAAATGGTAGAGTTTTATAGTATGTTTATCCAACTAATGTCTTTTTAGTGTCTCCTACACTAGAACAGAGGAATAAAGATTTTATGTGTGGATGTGCACAGATAAATAGCCCTGGGCTTTCTGTAGAAGACGGTAGATAAGGCAGTCTAGTCAGTGATATATGCTTTGTTAGAGGCAGGCTGCTTGCTACAGGAGTGAGGGGAGGGAAAGGCCACACTTCCTGCGAGGAAGCCAGTGCAGGGACTAGAAAATGAAGGCTGGCAGAGCACAAGGTTAGCCATGAAGACCGCGCTGAAAGTCAGCAAGCTGCTGGCATCTTCCTCCTAGAGCTGGGAACTCAAATCCAGTATTGGGCAGTGGACAGCCGCTCAGCTTTTATTTTGCTTCATTTGGTTTTTTAATTAGTCTGATTTAGGAAAATTTGGCAATAATACTGGATTTCAAAAAGTCTTAAAAGATTAGCTCTCTGATAGCTTTTCAGGCTCCTTTGGTATAAAAAGACATGCTTATATATAAATGGCCAATGAAGTTTGTCCATTTCCAGTCATTTTGTTGCAATTAGATGTATTAAGACAAAGTCCCTATTTGACACACCGCTATAAAATGCATGATAAAATGCCACTTTTCATACTTATTCAAACCTTTTACAAGGGGCCGGGGGAGTCCTTCCTACTGTCTCTGTCTGCAGCTGAAGCAGAGTAGACACCCTCTGCTCTTTCTCCTCCATACCAGGGAAGAGTGAATGTCTATAAAGAAAACAGCCTTTTGTTACTTGTCCTCTTAGATTTGGTTACAATTTTGCCAAGTATTTGTAGAAACAAACGCAAGAGGTTTTTGGTTTTCTGCCTTCAGTATGAAAAGCAAAGGTGGCGAAGTCCTTGCTCTGCCTGAGGCCTGCTGCTGTAAGATGAGGTGCTGTGCAAACCCGCAGGAAGTGTGGGTAGTGCAGAGATTAATTTTCAGGGCGGGCTATCGCTTAGTGGTAGAGCACTTACTTAGTACATCTGTGGCCGTAGATTCAATCCCCAGCACTGCAGAAATTAAAAAAAATACATATATTCATATATAAATTTTAGATACTTTGTTAATATAAACAGTATTAGTTGTGACTACAATATTTTAATAAGAGATTAAATCAGTGGAGCTGGCTGTTGTTTTCCATTCCTCAGGAAATTTGTAGCATCAAAATGATCCTGTGCTCAAAGAAGGAACACAAGTTACATGCATTTCAAACCACAGGAGGACTTGATTGTCACTTAAGGTAGACTCCTTGCCTAGCATGCAGGAAGCCTGGGGCTCAATCTCCACTACCAGTCACAATAAAACAGCAGTGGAAAAGCCAGGTGGTTCTGTGAACCGTACTAGAAACTGGGAGGGTGGGAATGCTAATCCTCGAATAATTGGTGAGTTGCTGCATTGCTGGGCAAATTGATGAGGGTTCTTTTTTTTCCTCCCAGTCTTCTGACTAAGTCGCCTGAAGCTCCCCCTAAACCTAAAGAAACCTAAAGAAACTGCTGCTCCAGCCACACACAGTGTAGGAGACACAGGAAGGGACCTGTCACTGGGGCTCTTGTGTCGAGTGTTTTAAGGATAAGTCTATAAGATGCTGAACAGCAAACTAATTGGTGTTTTCTTCAAAACCTCGGTGTGTTGACTGGCAAGTCCACACTTGGGCTCAGAGCTGCAGTAGGGAAGAGGGTGGGGATCAGAAGAATTGATGGTCTCTGCTGTGGTCTCTGCTGTGGAATTCCTGGGTCAGTTTGCAGGTCAGAGGCTTGTTTTAGATATTTAAGGAGTATTGGCTCTTTCTTTCTCTCCCTCTGTATATCCTCCCCACAAAAGGAGGAAGAAAGCTTTGACCCAAGAAAGAAAAACCCAAAGCTCTTAAAACACATTGTATTTGGCTCTTGTCTGCTTCTTGGGGACTTGGGAGGGTCTTCTGAAACATAGGCAGGGCCCCTTGAGCTGGCTTCAAGCCTCCTTAACAGCCCCGATTTCTCTCTGAGATTCTGGAAGGATACCATCTGAGTTTAGGGGTGCACTGCACCCTTCCTATCCTGATAGTGTATGTCCTAAGATAAAAACAGACAAAAGTAACAATAATAACTAAAAATAAACCTAAAATAGTGAGTGTTTATTCTATACTGAATTCATGGTAAATTTTTAATAACAAATTAAGTATGGTGTTATTTTGAAAATACATTTGGGGGTTTAAAATGGGACTTTTTTTTTCTCTCAGTCTCTGACCCAAACATGAAAAAGTTCAGAATTACTGTCATTCATTAAAAGCATTACTTTGATCTGAAGTCAGGCTGAATCTCAAGGTCTAAAGAGGAGCAAAACTGTAGAAATGAGAAATTATTTTTAATGTTTTTCTTTTACCATGTTTAGGTGTAAGATAGAACTTGCCATGTTGAATCAAATCAAATTGCAGCACACTCAGTTTAAAAAAATAATAATAGCCCTGGCTTGAAAGCTAGAATTTAATTCATTTGGAAACCAAATGATCATGGACTGGTTTTGAAGCATGAAAATGCTCCAAACCACCTTGGCTAGGGCTGAGTACTGTAGAACCAGACCATAAAACACGAGGGCCAGGCAGGCGTGCTCCGTGGCGCACACCAGCACACCAAGGCCGTGGTGGATACTGGTGCCCAGATTGTGTGGTCTGGTTCAGGCTGCAGCATCAGCATGAATAGTGGAATACACGGTGCAGGGAGGGGAAGCCACAGAGACAAAGTGGAGTGGAAAGAGTTGCTTGGGCAGCCACAGAGGCAGATTTTAGACACTCGATGATTGCTTCTTTCTTCGTTTTCCCCTGTATGTCTAACCACAAAAGGCTTTGGGGGATATGAGGAGGAAGAAACCTCTGACTCTAAAGAGTAATACAAGGGAATGAAGGCTGTAAACGCTCATCTGTGTTGCCTGAGACTGGGCACTGGTTGGGGCAGTACACCTGGACCAGAGCATTTCCCTGGTTCGTTTCTTTAGCTGATGCCACATAATCTACAAGGCTGTTTACCACGCGTGGCTCATTTGCCTGTTGTCCCATGTTCTCTGGTGACAGGACAGAGGAACTGGGGGGTGCTCACTCTCAGCCTGATTTCATAGTAAAGCATATCTAAGATGTGTCTTCTCTTTCTAGGTAACAGTATGACCAAATACATTGAGAAGCTAGAAGAGATTAAAAAAAGTGAGTACCACTCTTGATGGTTTGGGAGAAATGATGGAACTCTGTAGTCATCTGTCAGCTGGCTGCCACACTCTACAGCTGCCATGCATGGAGGGCTGTGGGGGTCAGGTGAGCCTGCTGGTGCTTGGAGACACCAGGTACCCCCATGTCTGTTCAAAGTCCATCCTGTAGGAAATTTTCATGTTAGAACCCAGGCTTCTGGTTCCGTCATACTGCAGTGGTTCTGGTCTTTTATTCTAGTGCTCGGTCCTCTTATTTGGTCCATACCTGAGATAGGGTAATAATAGCTCTGTTTATAATGGTCTTATAAGTATTCATTGGCAAATGTTCGTGAAGGACTAGGAGGTCTGGGGAAGCCGACTTGTTCTCAGTGCTCCACATTAGCCATTCATTGCAGTCTGTTTTCTTTTAATGAAAAACCATATTTCATGCAGATCCCTTTAGAAGCTAATCTTCTGCAGAGCTATCTGGCTGGTAACTGAATGCATTGCCCTCACAGAGAATCGTTGTTTTTTTTTTTTTTTTTTTTTTTTTTTTTAATCTGTATCCAAAACCAGTCTATAGGAAATGTACATGCTGAGGCCAGAATTAAAGAAGATGTTTTCTAGAGAAGTAGGGGCCAGGGTATTTGGCTGATAGGAAGAGACTCTCTTACCCAGCTCAGGATTTGACTCTGCGAACATGCATCTTCTTAGGAGAGAAATTACAATTCTGAAATACATCAGAACTTTTTTTTTTTTTTGACACAACAGACCTTTTTAAGTTAAAAAGATGGTGTCCCATTTGAATTGTGCCGTATAGGGAAACCCACAGTAGATGCGGCCTTGGGGCAGCTTTCTACCCTCTTTATTTGCTGCAGCCGACTAGAAGACCCAGGTCTATAGACATCCTAGATTATATATTCAATATTAAATAATAAATACAATGTCACCAGATCATTCTTTTTCATTTTGCATGATGTCAGTTATCTATCTTAATATATGCATGCTAAATTTCTGAACTATGACCGAAATCTTGTTCACTCACCCATACTGCGGTCGTTCTCAGCACACGGCCTGCTTCAGTTTGGGTCTGTGGCCTCTTTCTGCTCCCTTCCATTTGAAGCGAGGTGTCAGCTCACATGTCCATACCAGGATCTAGTCTGTTCAGATCATCTAAACCTTGCTTTAAACATTTATTAAGAGTACAATGTGGCTTCCAGAGCCTCTAAACTTTAATAGAGACTATCTCCCGCATAGAACCGTTCTTGGAACTGAATCCTTGAACATATTCCTTCCTTCCTTCCTTCCTTAGAAGTCGTGGGCTTCCTCTCACCTCCATCTGATGCTTTGTGCTCATCCCCAAAGAAACACTTTAGACTCTGGTTTGGCGCCTGCATTTCAGAAGCTGCCCCACCCCACTTTCTGTTGCAAGTGTTCTCTCGGTCTGCGTGGAGGAGAACGCTGCTTTGTCTCTTGTCATCCTAGACCCAGCTCTCTGCCGGCCTCACCTCAGATGCCACGTCTGTCTGTGAAGTCACAAACCTTGTTCTGTTACTTTCTTTTATTTGTCTTCCTCTGTGAGTTCAACCTCCTTTTCTTTGCTAATAGCACATTTTAACAGAGCCCTGGAAATGCAGAAGTCCTTTGTAACCTGAACATTGTTTGCACTGTACCTGGGGAAAGCGATGCTCTCTGCTATTGACCATTGACAAAGCCTGTTCTTCGGAACCTGGTGGTTAGATGACACTAGTTGGACCTAGTGTGAGACATCCTAGATAGTTAGGTCTCTGTCCTTCCAGTAACTCAAGAGAGGCCAACTCAGCCCCTGGACTCACTGGAGAAGCCAAGCTTGATAGTGTGTCTGAGCTGGGATAGTCTGTCTCCTGCAGAGTCTGAGAGGAGCCCAAGTAGTAGAAGCTCCATTCTTAAAGCTGTGTTCGCTCTTGCGAGGACAGACGGACAGAGTTGTCCAAGTCGTCTTTTTTTATACAACTTAAAACTCCACATAAGACTTTGGCTTGATCTTTTATCTCTGAGCAATAATGTCAGAAAGTCCTACGGATGGCTCCCCTCCTAAACCAGAACCAGGTAGGTCGTGCCCAGACTGCAATATGTGGTGGGTTCCGAGGGCTTGTCCAAAAGATATTCTACATGCTACAGCAAAGCTTGCTATTTGTGTGGTACCATCTCTGTTTAGCCACAGGGGATTTTAGTGTGCACATGTTTAACTTACAGGTATTTCAAGCTATGTAACAATACCAAAGAAATACCAATGGGTAGATGTCAAAATACAAGCTCTTTGAAAGCTATTGGCTTTTTTATTGTCTAATTTATCGCTATTTTAGTTGACAAAAAATTTCTTTAGGTGGGCAGGCTGGTGTTGAGGGCACTACTATAGCAGCTCCCTTGTTCTTGGGAGGACTCTACTAAGCCTGCCGGGTGTGCAGCCAGGCACATTTATTAACTTACTTTATTCAGGAGAAGCTACTCTAAGAACTTTCTAGAAATAATAGTTTACTTGCCAAATTGCTCTCTTCAAGACATTTTAAAACAGAGTTTTAATTCCCTGCAAGAAAGAGCTGTAATATATTTAACAGATGGTTAGTTTTGAAGGTATTATTATTTCCTGACTCTAATTATTAAAATATTTGGTAAATCAAGCTTAGATTAACCTCCAAAGTAACCATCCAGTTTGTGCTGAGTTTTTTGGGGAATTCATGGAACTGATTAGTAACACAAGTAAATAATCTCAGACACCTTAATCCTTTCCTTTGTTGCTAGGATCGCGATGTATGAGACATTCTGTGAAGGCCGTGGCAATTATCCAGCTAACCTTTAGTAATTCTTAAATAATGAGGCAGTCTTTAAGGAGCCCTGGGCACCAGTGTAAAAACCATGAACAGGAAGGAAGGATAAAGGCGGGCAGAGTTCAACAATGCAAGCTTTAAAATTAGCATCATTGTTAGAAAATTTTCAGGAAGTGAGCTAGCTTCTGGGGAGAATCTTCAGAGCAGATATTGGAAAGTGAGATTGTCTGGTTTTTAATGTTTGTCCGATGTGTTCTGAAGATATCTTTTTCTTTGTGTGAAGACAAGATCTTGCTATTCTTTCAGGCTGGTCTTGAACTTGGGAACTCCTGTCTCTGCCTCCCAGTTGCTGGGATTACAGAATATTCTAGCATGCCTGACTCATACAAAGAGCTATTGATGGTCAGTGGTGGTGCACATCTTCAGTACCAGCACTCACAAGGCAAAAGCAGGCAGATCTCTGAGTTCGAGGCCAGCCTGGTCTACAGAATGAGATCCAGGACAGCCAGGGCTACACAGAGAAACCCTGTCTCAAAAATCAAAAACCAAAACAACAACAGCAAACCAAAACCAGCAAAGAGCCATTGCTATAACTGTAGAAGCACCCCCCCCCCACACACACATTTGAGTTATATTTCAAAACTATAAAGATGATGCTGAGTGAATACAGATTATTTAGTCTGGTTCTTATTTGATTTTATTTTCATTTTGGTAAAAACATAATTTACCACCAAGCCGTTTTTAAGTGCGCAGTTTCTGCAGTTGTGCGGGGTGTCCTGTTGTGCAGCAGCTTCCAGAGCCGTCCTCGTGGAAAGCTGGCTGACCTGCGGCCCAGTCACCACCACCACCACCACCACCACCACCACCACCACCACACACACACACACACACACACACACACACACACACACACACACACGACGTCTCCTGTCTCTGGCACAGTTTACAACCACAGGGAAAACAATCCCTGTCATTGAAGTCAGAGTCAGAAGAACAGGGTAGAGACGCCTCACCAGCTGTGTGGCCCAAGGCAACTCCGAGTCTCTATCATCCTCTGTTAAATGTAGACAGTTATCCCTTCCTTTGTTCTAAAAAGGACTTGAGGCAGCTCCCACGAATGCACGCCACACGTGTGGCCGTAGTGGAGACAACTTAGTAGAAGGAGAGCTCTCCAGGTGGCCAAGCACAGGGGTGCGCTGAAAACCCCACCTTGCCTCCTTGAGCACCCTTCGAAGATCAGATCTTGTATGAAAGCACACCATAGAACTTGATAACTAGAATGAATAGCCCAGAGCCCACAGTGAACCCTCACAAGTGCGTGTCGTATTCTGCTTTTTCAGATTACAGATACAAAAAAGACGAACTCTTCAAGAGACTGAAAGTTACCACCTTTGCCCAGCTGGTAAGTTTGCTGATCTTTTATTGGACTAAAGGCGAGTCTGTACTGCTCTACGTGAGTCTGTACTGCTCTGCGTGAGCATTCTGGGCATCTCGGGGTCTTCTTGCAAGGAGAAGCTTCTGGCCATTCCTATTTCACCATAAGGGGATGAATTGGTGTCTATGGGGGTGATGTTCACAAAAGGATGGCATGAAAGGTTTCTCTTTAATAAGGGTTCCATGAAATAAATACATCTGCATTCTATTTTTAATGTTCAGAGTTGTGATTTAGATTTTTATTATACTTTGTACACTTAACATTTAGAATCTAACATTTTCAATTCTTGATTGTTTGAATTTTTTTAAACAATTGACTCCTTTTTGTGTCTCTGAACTTTCTGAACTGCTCTGCTGTGAGCTATTTCTTTACTTCAAGCAAGGCATTTTCTCCCTTCACTAAAAAATAATGGACAAGGTGTTTCTGTGACCCCCAAACAAGAGGTTCGTTGACGCAAGTTAGATTTCGGGCTCTATGGACAATGCTTTAAAAATCATCACTGTGTTAAGACAGACAATCTGTAATCACCATATTCATAATTCCCTTTATTTCCCAATCGTGTGGAGATCTGTCCACACCATCCTGTGTTATTATAAGTCAGTACCATGTTTTCAAGTAACACTATGCTGTCCTGACTCCGTCTCTATGCATGTAAACTCTTATCATGTCTCCCATCTGAACTGATCCTTGGGGTTTCTGTATTGATACTATGACACGTCTTTACTTGTTTGTTTCTTGTGCGTTTGTGTGTAAAGTTTTGAGTGAGTTTCTGGGTTTTTTTTTTCTGGAATAATCATTCATGGTGTAATTAGCACCCTAATGATTAAGAGGCCTGAAATCAGTAAGATTTGCCAGTCAGGACACTACAGCTGCTTCAAACAAGATGGCTTTGATGTTTGGAGTTGCCCAGTCTTTTTTAAAAGACAGAACCACCTGTGTTTAAAGCGAAACTATGTGCACATCAACACGTTTCGTTCTTCTCTATCAGGTCATTCAGGTTGCTTCCCTGTCAGATCAAACACTGGAAGTGACAGCTGAGGAGATTCAAAGGCTTGAAGGTAAGAAGAATTGAGGATGTCGGAAACTAGCAGGTTGGCCAGTGGTGAAAGTCCTCACCCTGTACATGTATTAGTGTGTTTACAGGGAACTGGGCCATTGATACAGCTGTTTGCAGTCAGTTATTCACAGAGAAATGCTATCTGGTACCCTAATTATTCTCATTTCTTTAAAAAAAAAGTATTTTCTGACACACAATTTCAATGTTTTAGATGTTTGAATATACGACTTCCTTTTTTTCCAGAAAATATTTCTAATGTCTTGTGCATTTGCACAGGTTACAGAAGTCAGTGGTAAGAGACTAGAAAGCTGAGAAAACACCTCTGCTCCCATAGGGTTTGTAGCTGTGTGTGTGTGTGTGTGTGTGTGTGTGTGTGTGGTGGGAGATTGCTACAGTGCTGAAAGTTACATGTGATAGGAGTCATTGCTGGAAGGCAGCAATCATTTGTTACGAATTTTATTGTTTAATATTCTCAAAAATGGGAAGGAAGGAACATACATTTCAGAGATGAGAAGCCCGAGCATCAGGAGAAGCCCCCATTGGCATATCTAGTAAAGAGTGGACTTGGGATTCCACTCTAAATCTCCAGTAGCATTCTTCTCATTGTATCACCAAGGGACTCTGCAGAGTTCCTTTGAAGATACGTGAGATGCCACGGGAGTTCTCAGGAAGGAAGGATGTTTTCCAGTTAGACCAAACCAGGCTTCCTGAAGGTATCTGAACTAGGTAGGCCTCAAAGGGGCAGGCACAGTTATGGGGGAGAGGAGCCTAAGCAAGGCATGGACATGAAAGGACAGTGTGTATGCCAGGAATCTGGTAATCCAGGCTGGTTTTGGTCTTCAGGGACGAGTAGACACTGGGTGGAAGATAAGGCCAGAAAGATAAGCAGGCTCCAGATTTCCTTGCTTAAATACCAACTGCAAAACAAAACCCGTTTAGTTGTACACTCATGAAAGGAATACACAGACTTCGGGTCTTGATTTTATCCTGAAGTACCCTGCAATCAATGCGTGCCTGTTTACTAAAGAGGAATGTGTTTGTTAAGGTTGATGCAGGCCAGGAATTTAACTTCTGATTTCAAGACAAGGTTCTCAGGAAGTCTGAGCACACTGGTTTTGTGCAACTCAGCTGTCATTTTACTGCGCTGGTTTTTGTTAGGGAGGATAAAGAGAATCTGAAAACGACAGGAATTTATCTTTGACAGATGCCTCTCACCCAGCAGAGAAATAAGGGTTCATTGTAATAGAGGTAATTGAGTCTCCTCATACAAGCGCTCCCAATTTTAACCGGGTTATAGGAGCACCTAGATTTGGCCTTTAATTCATTGTTAAGATTGCTGCACCAGAACATATGCGCACATGCAATTTTCTCCTCTGAAATAAATTTGCACAGCAAAATAGGCTCTTGTAAAATAGGACGCCATAATGTGTGAGTAACATTAGTGTTTTTCTAGGGCTCTACACGGATAATAGCTCAGTCAGGAGTGCCTTCAGAACAAGCTGTGTCTGAATATTTGTTGGTTACCTTTGAAGAATGCAAAACCCTCCTTTTACAATGTTAATGCTTTTTCCTGACTTAAAAATGTTTCAGGATGGTAAAAATATCTAAAGAAGAAGATGATAATAATGAGTGTCAATATTTGGGTCCATTTTTCTTCATCTTCCTCCTTACAATGCATGCTCTCTGTGTGCAGCTTTGCTCTGTGCAGCTCTAAATTAACTTTTTTTCATGCATATTTTCCAATGTCATTAAACAGACTTCAAAAACATGACTTTAAAAATTGTGTTCTTGTATATATCTATCTTTGGGACATATCTTAACTATCCTACTGTTGAGCATGGCAGTTTTTATGTGCTGTGTCACTGTGATGAAATGACACCACATTGTACATGTAAACAGGCATGTGAGTCTCATTGTTCCTTGCAGTCGAGTCGCTACAGATAGTCGAAGGTGAAACCACTCCCACACCATCGCGGTGTGGCTGTGACCTACATGCATTCCTGTCAGGAACACCTCGTGCGATGGATAAAAAAATTGTATCTAATCATTTTATTTTTTAATTCCTCTGATAATGAAATTGAGCTGTGTATATATAGGCATGTGCATGTCCTCATATACATTCATTTACTGGGCCTCTGCCTTTAAAAATATTTTTGTATGTTGTTTCCTATTTTGTTTTTCTAAAACAATGCCCATCTTTTTTTCTTATTGATTTTGTGGGCACTATGGATAATTTATATCTTTATACAACAGTAACAAATATAATACTGAAAATGACGAGAAAGAACTCTTTGCTTATTTATAATTAATTAATGAGACCAGAATTAAGGACTGACATGTTTGGCTGGGGGGCAGTCAATCAGGAACATGCCAGAAGTGGTACCTCTTCGTTGAGGGCTTCATTGAGACCCAGAATAAAATTTTGCATGAGACTAAGGGGCCTAAAGGGTTTGAATAGATCTTTATAGTTGTAGTTATATTTCTAGGGAATGTTCAATCACTGCAGTTATAGTAAATGAGATCTTTTCAATGTTTTCTAATCAGTGTATAAGAAAGATGTTCTATGTGGTTATTAGCATTTAAATCATAACCTCGGGTTTGTTTGTCCATGTCATCCTAGTATTTGTTTGAAGTTTTAGGCATATTATATCATATACAAATTAAATTTTAGTCTTTTTTAGTAGTTAAGCCTCCTCTATTTCTTCTTTCACTGTATTTGTTAGAACAGAAAATCCCCTAATGTCATTGTCTCGTTCCCATTCTATATTCTTAGAGATTATTGAAGACCCAGAGAGCTTTGGCATATGTGAACTGTATTTATTCAAATTTAGTATATTAAAAACCAGTTTTGTTTGTTTTTCAAGAAAGGGTTTCTCTGTGTCGCCATGGCTGTCCCGGAACTCTCTCTGTAGATCAGGCTGACCTCGAACTCACATAGTTCCGCCTGCCTCTACCTCCTGAGTGCTGGGATTAAAAGCATGCACTGCCACTACCCAGCCAGGTATGTTTAAATTTTAACCTGAGAATTTAAGCAATATTTATTGCCAAATATAAAAATATCAATCGTAATCCCATCACAAACAAAAACAGAGCATGGGGGGGGGGGGTTACTGGGGCTCACACCCAGGACTGTGTGCATACTAAACACAAGCTCTTCCACTGAATTTTATCCCCAACCCATAAAAACATACTTTTATATTTAAAAAAAATCATTAACTTTCCAACCCAGAATTTTACCAAGTGGCTCTGAGTATTTTGTAAGTGTCTTTCATGTCTGTTTTAATAGACAACAGCTGATTCTGATATCTGCTTTTTGCTTTCAGTCAGTGCAATGTGCTGTTTGGGTTGAAGTCTGTGAAGCAAATCTGACTCACATGGACCTGTAGTTAGTTGGGAGAGGGAGGGGTACTTCACTAACCCTTTCAGTCAGCTGTTTCTACTTCTTTTGATACTACATAAAACCCATCAGCTGGTTCATCCTCTCTCCCTCTTTCCCTTCCTTCTCTTTGCTCCCCCTCCCCTTCCTTCTTTCCTTCCTTGTTCTCCATCCTTTCCTTTCTTTCTAGCCTAGCTTCAAACTCCCAGTCCTCCTGCTGATCACAGGCAAGGCCAGCCTGCTTGGCCAGTTGTTTCTTAAGGGTTTGCTGCGTCTGGCTTCTGACCCACTTCAGTGGACTGTTACGCTCTGTTGTGTCAAAGCCCTTTGGTCGGCCTCATGCTTTCAGTGCCTCTCCTGCCTGTGCGCAGCCTCACGCCGTGCACTGCTTGTTTGTCCAATGTCATTTGACTGACATGGAACTCAGATGTGTCCAATGCGTGTTGGGAGGGCTCTTCATGCTTCACCTCTAGGTGCCAAACACAGATTCCAAAAGTCTGGGTTTTCTTCAAAATTTAGCCACTGACAAGAAATACCATCAACTGTTTTCTTTAAAAGAATTCTCCCTCAATTCATCATTGAGACAACATCTCCAAATACGCAAGTAAGGACCCAGATTTTCTTGCAAAGAAAAGATGCCTGCGGCAAAAATGTCTGGCTCGGCCACAGCCTAGCAAGCATTCTAATCCTTACCCCTGACATTTCCTCATACATGGGTATCTAGAAAACCACTCTGGCATCACACAGACTACTCAAAGGCAAACACCTAGAGAATCAGTTCACTCTTCTTTCTGAGCTAGGGTCTTACCCTGTAGCTCTGGCTGGCCTGGGACTCACTGGCTCAAACAGTTCAGTCTTCTCACCCCAGCCTCCCAAGTGCTAAGATTGCAGCCGTGAGTCACCACACCGGTTCAAGGTGAGAGGTGATGGGAATGATTAATCATTGTTTTATGAGGACACTCTTTAGTATTTACTGTGAGAGCATGTGCAACAGGGAAAACTGTGCCCGCTAATAAGTGTGGAGCCGCTTCCTGATGTTTCCCGAGTGCTAGAGTTTTCACTGTCCCCTTTGTACCAGCAGAGCAAATATAAATACAGCCAAAAAGTGATAGGGGCTTTGAGCTTAGCTCAGCTGGTAAAACACTTGCCTACCAAGTTCAGGGCACTGGGTTCTGTCCTCAGCTGAGGTGGGGGTGGGGACAGTTGACATCTTAGGAAATAGCTTTCACTTGGTATTCAATATGAAAGGGTCTTGAGGAACTCCAGGGGTTTATTTCGCTGCATTTTGAGAGCTCCCTGTGTTACAACTTTTAGAATAATAACTCATCAATAGCGATACAATTGTTTTTTGCTTTGTATCAGTGGAGATACCTAATAGGTAAATTCCAATCCTGAGATTGCATTTGGTTACTTGTTAAATTTTTTTAAAGATCTGCATTTATTTGTGGGTGTGCGTGAGTGGGCACATGCGTGCAGCAGTGCACATGTGGAGGTAATTGAGTCTCTCTTTTCACTGTGTGGTTTCCAGGGATCAAACTCATGTCATCAGACTTGATGGCAAGCGTCTACACCCACTGAGTCGTTTAACCCGCCCTGTATTTCTTTGTTGCAAATTTTAGACAATGATTCTACAACTTCAGAGGCTGATGCTGAAATTGCTGCCAAGACCAATGGAAAAGGGAGCCCTGGGGAGCAGTCACCCAGTCCTGTCCAGTTCATCAACAGCACTGGAGCAGGGGACTCCAGTCGCTCCACTCTCCAGAGGTACCTGTGTTGGATCCGAGCATTTACTCTGTGTTCTTCTGGCCCATTTCAGTGATTGACGTACCTGAAACAGAACTGGCAGCAGTGACGTCCTACATTTTAATCCCAGCCCTTTACGTTCTTCCTTTTTATCTAAATGTTACCTGAGCTCTTTTCACTTCTTACTGAACTAATGTGAGAGTGGATTAATAGGCGTGTATTCTTTTCCACTTCTTGGTTTCATTCTTCTCAGCCCTTCTACATATGGGCTAGTTAGGGTCTAGCAAAATTTTTCAGGTACTATGTTTCTATTCTGAGTATGAATTTTGCCCTGTCTACTGAAGCTTATATTGTCCTATATAGAATAAGAAAGACTCAGTGCCACAAAATGCCCCGGCATGGAACAAGCATGGAGAATGGCAATAAGCCACTGGAGTTTATTCTGAAACTGCCCTGGCTCATGGTTTTTGTTTCCAAGGACCTTACTCCATGCATTACTTCTCACAAATATTAGCTGTGGGTTTTGAGATTGGTGCTGGTTTTCAGCATGTATCCATCCCATCTCCTCACAAAACACTTCTGCCAGGGAAATCTCTAGCTAGAGAAGTGCCGTCGTTGGTTGTCATTTTCATAGCTGTGTTTGTGAAAGGGCTATATAAAAATGCATTCGTTTTTATAGATATAGAAAGAAGATATAGGTGGGGCTGGAAAGATGGCTCAGCAGTTAAGAGCACTTGTTGCTCTTGAAGAGGACCTGGGTTCAGTTCCCAGTCTCCATATTGCAGCTCAAAACCAAATTCTGACCTCTGAGAGTGCCTGCAAACATGAGGTGTGCACACACGCAAACACACACATACATACCCAGGTGCACATGCACGTGCACACACAGAGATTGAAAAAGAAGAGATGTGGGCCACCGGTGCTTCCTCAGAGCATGCAGGTTTGTATCAAATAGGTTTTCTTCTCCTTTGCCTCATTGAAGTATGCACTGTGGAGCCATAGTGTTTACTGGATATAAATGCAGATAGTGAAGTCCTGCGATGGCAGAGGAGCTAGTCAACACGCTCATCTCTGACTGAGCGGCTCCTTACCATGTCCTTACAGATCCTTGGCCGTTTTGTTCGTGGTCCCCGGTCTTCTTAGTCCTCTGCTGTCCTGCCATGCTTTCTTTCTGACATTAAGGTGGCAGCGCAGCTCATGCTTAATGAGTGGAAGCAGCACTGCCAGGGATGAACCCCTTATTTCAATCCCGTCTCTTCCCTTGTCTCATTATATGAATGCCACTAGCTCTAAAAGCCTCTTCAGGCTCATCATCATCCTGTACAAATTGGAAGTGAGTGCAGATAACTATTGAAAATAGGGTTCAGTGTCCACATTGGGTAGGCCGATGTGTAAGTACATCCACGCATCACTTAATGATAGGACGTTCCGAGAAATGTGCCATTAGGTGATTTTTCCATGATGGAGCATCAGGAGTGTACTTTAACAAACTGAAATGGCTCCCCATCACTCTGCAGAGTCATCTTATGGGGCTGCCATTATATTCTGCCCACGTTTGACTGGAATATCTTCACATGGTCCCAGACCGTATGTGAAGTACATAAAACAATATTGGTACTTTATATTGTGCTTAATATACATAAAAATATTTTGCATTTCTGTTGTCCTGCAAGCCATTTTCTCTGTCCATGTATTCTGTTTTCTTACTCCTTACTCTAATCCTATCAGATAACTGTTGCCTCTTTCTTTGTGAGGGTCACCTTTGCAGCTGAAGGCAGCATGTGCCCTGCACTTTCTACCCCCTGCCTCTAGCATACCCTGTGGGTAATCCACGCCAGCCCCTTCTTGGGGCTCAGTGTTGTAGAGTAGCATCCGCACAGCCCTGCTGCCTTCTGGAAAGAACTGAGGCACTCTGCCCATTTGGCTTTTCCTGGGGGTCCCCGTTGAGAAGACAAGGAACCCTCATCTCCCCATTCTGAAGAGACATTTGACTTTTCAACCTCTGACCCCTGACTAGTTTCTGATGACCTATTGTTTTCTGCTTACAGCGTCATCAGTGGCGTTGGGGAACTGGATGTAGACAAAGGGCTAGTAAAAAAAGAAGAGCCCAGTGGTAAAGACAAGCCTTATCCGGACTGCCCCTTCCTGCTGCTAGACGTGCGTGACAGAGACTCTTATCAGCAGTGCCACATTGTCGGGGGTAAGAAGAGGGGTAGTGGAGCCTCTCAGTCCCAGGAGCAGGGCCCAGTCTCGTTCCAGCGGAAATGGGACACTAGCACAGGTCAACCGTCAGGGACACCCGTGGAGTGAGCACCACATGCCCTCTGAGAGAGGCTGACCGTGTTCTCTGGGGCTCACAGGCCCAGCGCACAGTACACTGAGCAGGGAAGCCGGTCCTCCTTTGTTCATGGCGCCCTTTCTCTCTTCATGTCTTTCGTGGAGCATCTAGGTGTATTTAGGGTTATGGCTCACGGACTTTGAAATATATATTCACCTCTTAGACTGTACGTCAGCTGGGAAGTGGGGCCAGATTGTAAGAGAGCTCTAGGCTTCCTAATCTTGTTCTTCTCTTGTAGCTTACAGTTACCCAATTGCAACTCTGTCCAGGACAATGAACCCCTATTCAAACGACATACTTGAGTATGTATCCTTTGTTGCATTTTAAGGAGTTGGATGTTATCGGGATTTTAAGACTCAAACTTATCATGAACCATGTTCTTAGTGTGAAAACTGCAAAGGACCCTTGACACTCACCAGGTTAGCATGTTTTAGATTTCAGATTCCTAGCCGCTGCTAAGTGTCTGCTAAAGAACTGTTAAGACAGATTCTTTTCAATTATGCCTCCCTGTGCCAGAAACCACTAGGTTCAGGGTGTGTCCTAAGACTCTGCCTCTTCTAGAAAGCTTGTCCACATTGAACTTAAGAGTAAATATTTTTATATTTCTGTTTTTCTTTTAAAATTTTTAATTTTTTTCAGTCATAAAAATCATACAAGTAGAAAATACTGAAAATGTTAAAAAAAAAGAAAGAAAATATTCTATTATCAAATAATTGAGTAACAACTCTTGTCACAATGCTGGTATATTTTGTTCTATTTTCTATATGTGTATGTGAAATTTGTCTTTACAAAATTGAAGTCAGATTGTACCAGATGTCATTCACATCTGTAATTTCCAATGCTAATGGAAGCTGTTGGTAAGCTCCATTTTTGACAGTATGTATTATCTCCTTGTCAGATCTACTTCCTAAACTGCCCCTTTATTGTGGGCTTTCGGGTGGTTCTATTGTATCATGGTAAGGAAGCCTTGGGTGGATGTGTGGACACAGAAGTCTCAAATGGAAGCTGTCGTCTTTCCTCTCCAGCACTGTAAGGTGTAGAGTGTGTAGCCCGTGCTGTCAGGACTTAGGGCATGCTAGTTCCAAAACCTTAACTCACCTCACGGAAAAATGCTCACGGCAAGATCATCATTATGTACGACGACGACGAGAGGCTGGCGAGCCAGGCGGCCACCACCATGTGTGAACGCGGCTTTGAAAACCTCTTCATGCTCTCTGGGGGTGAGCAAAGCTTCAGTCTCCTCACACATCCCGCCCTGCTCTCAGCAGCCCTTGGGCCCACACTGTTACCTTCCAGTGCTCAGTGACGAGAGGGACCTTAGCTTGGGCAGAGAGAGCGCCGTGCTGTCTGAAGGAACCAGGGGTCATGCGAAAAGTCCTCTGCTTCTGTCAGCACGTCTGTGTGGGTTTGTTTCGGGGGTGGGGGATGGGGGTTTCATTTTCTTCACTGTAGGTTTTGTTGATTTGAAGCTTTGATGTTTTTTTTTTAATTTTTTTTAAAGATTTATTTATTTATTATGTATACAACATTCTGCCTCCATGTATGCCCACACGCCAGAGGAGGGCGCCAGATCTCATTACAGATGGTTGTGAGCCACCATGTGGTTGCTGGGAATTGAACTCAGGACCTCTGGAAGAGCAGTCAGTGCCCTTAACCACTGAGCCATCTCTCCAGCCCGCTTTGATGGTTTTTGAGACAGGATCTTGCTCCATAGACCAGGCAGGCCTCAAACTCTTAATCTTCCTGCATCAGCATCCTGACTGCTAGGATTGCAGGCATGGCCTCCAGGCCTAGCTAGCACATGGTTTTAATTCCTGAGATAACAGCATTATTGCAGGGTTCTGTAAGAATGCTAAACCCGAGCAGAAGATTTCCTATGGAATTCTCAGCTGACATTTCTAGTTTATGTGTTGACCCAGCAGTGAAGGACTCGGTGATGAAGGGCGGGAAGACACACAGGCCTCTCTAGCATTGCTGGGGCCTCACTTTGTTAATCCTGCTTTTTCTTATGCTCTCCTGCATCTTAGGTCTGAAAGTCTTAGCTCAGAAATTCCCAGAAGGACTGGTCACTGGTTCCCTGCCAGCTTCTTGCCAGCAGGCCCTCCCTCTCGGTTCTGCCCGGAAGCGATCCAGCCCCAAAATGCCACCCCTGCCAGCTGAGAACAAGTGGAGATTTACCCCAGAAGACTTAAAAAAGATAGAATGTTATCTGGAAGCGGACCAGGGGCTGACAGGCAATCACAGTAAGAGATTCTGACCTTTGTTTTTGGTGGAGCTTGACCTGTGCACCTTTGACTGTCCCCTCATCACAGAAAAAGCACCATTATATCCCTGTTTTTAAAGTACTTGAGGTTCTGTGTGTGATACAGGTACTAGTAGGGGTCACCGGTGATGGCAAACATTAGGCATTGAGAACAAATGTGGAGAGTCAGCCGCAGAACATGTATCTGAGGCATAGTATGGGCGTCGAGATTCTTTCTTGGGAGGTCTGCCCTTCCTGCTCTGCTTCTGGGTTTGCTTAAAGGCCTACCCAAAGATGCCTGCTCTGTCTTCCACCTTTGCCTGCTGCTTTCTCTTCCCTCTCCACAATTCCCCTCACCCTGTGTACCCATCTTTCTTTACCAAGGAAGGAGTGAGAGACAGTCCAGATTTGTCGAGGACAGTGAAGGGGAAAAAAGTAGACTGTGTGGCTTCTCTCCACCCCTCCCCCTTCCCCAACATCAAGTTGATCTGAGGGATGAGAAATAGATCACCACTGGCCCACAGTAGATTCTGTGGAGGCTTCATTAGCATAAAAGTGGTCATAGACTAAGCATCATTAGCTTAAAAGTGTTCTTGGCCCATTGTCCCTGGAACCCTTCTTGCATCTCTGTCCCTCTTTTTTTGCTCCCATCAGGCCGAATGAACCAGAATAACTCTGCCGGAAGAGACTTGAAGGTGCCTGCTGGCCGCAGTGGCCAGAACCTGCCTACCGGGGGTCCTGCTAGCCACTCAAACCCCCGCACACTCAACAGTGGTCACCTGCAAGGCAAACCCTGGAAGTGAAGACCTTGTGCCTTTTAGTCAAATAAATGTCCCCTCCTTTTGGAACCCCCAGCACTCCCAACTTGGTCATTTCAGAACTGCTATAGAGAAAAGCCACACTACCTGGGCCAGACCAGGCCCACCTCTTCCTGTCTGCAGCTTCCCCTTCCTTCACTCAGGAAGGATTTTGACAGATGACCACAAAAACCAGAGGCTTGACCGGCTCTAGTGCACTCCCCATTGTTTACAGGATATTCATGTCTTTTGAAATTGAATAGGAAAAAAGAAAGATACTGTCTGTTAACTAAGGCCCTGCCTGTTTGGTCTGTAAGCAGTGTTGTTTTGTAAATAATTTAGTCACATCTGCTGGTGTGTTCTTCCAGGCCAGCGTTTTCATTCTCTGTTGATTTCATGAAAGATTCTCCAGGTGGGCCTGCCCTTGGCGCCTGTCCCCAGGGGGTGCAGATGAGTTTCGGCGCCTGCAGCCCACACTGGGCCAGGTGGCTGGCTGAGTCACTTGCTGCAGGCTCTGTGCCCTGCAGGCTCTGTGTGTGCTGCAGGCTCTGCTGGGAATTTGAGGCTGAGGGGTCTGTGAGCTAAGTTCCATCTTACTGGTTTATCAGAGAGGCTCTGTCAAAATGATCCCCTTGTTAAATGGTTTCTGAGGCCAGGAAAGCTCAGTTGTCCTCACACCAGAAGGAGGCCCGAGTATACGGAGGTCCCAGCATCCTACAGGGCTGTGCTAAGAGCCCTGGAAGGCCACCACAGCGGTCCCCTCCATTGTGAGCCTTATTTCAATTAAATTTCCCATTGTCTAATTTGAGTCCAGCTGTGTTAGATGGATAGCAATCACAGTCATGTGAGAGCATCAGCTCCTCTCAGACAAGGGGAACACACAGGTGAGGAGGACGCAGGAGTCCTTTGTCAGAGCTGACAACCCCTCAAGGCCTTGCTTAAAAATACAGTATTAGTCTAATTGAGTAATTAGTGCAATTTCCTGCTTGCTTTTCATTCTCACGACTGAGCTGTGATTAGGAGGCTGTGATTATAGATTCTGGTTCTGGCCGGAATTTTGAATTGGCATTAATTGAATTGCTAGCTGACTGACATCCATTCTCTTTAATTGCGCGAACAAAAGACCTCAGGTAAGGATGAGGTGCATGAAGTCACGGGAGAAGAGCCCTGTTAATTTTTATGGTCTGTGATCGGAGCTGTGATAAGGGACTAAGGAATAAATTGTGCTCTTTGTCATGGCAACCAGCTTCTGAAAAGCCAACTGAAAATTGCCTGTGCTTAGGTGGTTACTGCTGCTGGTAAGATTTGCCTTAACAGTACTATTTTCTAACCACTAAAGAAAAAAAAAGGAAAAAGGAAAAGAGAAAAAAAGCCCGCCCACAGTATTTCTAGCATGAGGGCTGTGTTTGTAAGAGAAGTAAACGTAATAAATATCTCATGGAGACATATGGAAAAATAACTCAGTCAACCCAGCTCTGTTTCAGAATGTGTTTATTCTTCTCTACTTGATTTCCAAAGTGCAACGTTTTCCAATGCTTTAGAAATCAAACAAACCAGGGATATTGTTCAGATGTCAAGCTGTGCCCAATTTTCCACAAGATTCGAGAATCTTGTACAAAACTCAGCCAACGTACACATAGCTTTAATGAGAAGCCTGTCATGTTTCCCCATAAATTCATTGCCTGAGAACTTAGTTCAGCCTTTTGCTAATGCCAAAATGCACTGGCTTTGTATTTTCTTTGCAGAATAGATAGAAAAATGCAATTTTTTCCACATTCGGCTTTCCCCTAGCATGGACAAGATTTTCAGTCATCTTTGACATTCCTAAGGAAAGTATTTTCCTCGGCAGCAAAGTTCTGGTTTGCCGCTTTAACACGGGCTAGTCAGGAGGGCAGACCTCCTGACCCAATTCTGATTTGAAAGTAAAGGGCAGTTTCCTCTCGTTCCCTCCTGCATTCCCACCAATGGACAGTAGTGTTGGGAAGTGTATGGCCGTGCAAAGCTGGCTTAGCTGGCTTAGTCAGCCTCGCTGCATTCGCTGGCGTGGTCCATGTGCCTCTCCACAGCACTTTGCCCCGTTGGCAGAGACCGATCTGAATCTGCACTCAGTGTTACTCTCCGACGCTGTTGCTTCCTGACATTCCGCTTTACCAGTTTCTTCATTAGATTATTTGACATGTATTATTTAAATGATCACTGATACTCTGTGCAATTATGAATGTTGAAGATTAAAGAACGTAGTTACTAATTTGTCGTTTGCTATTAATGTGCTGAAACCTGCCAACTTCTCTCTTCCTCTCTGTCAGAATGATTTGGGGGAGCCCCAGGAGACTAGAGTGATTTGAAAGCGTACCTCTTTTTACTGCATTTCCCAGAAAGGCGTATGCTCTTTGCATCAATGAATCTGGAAATCATTCCAGTTTAGAGCAAGAGAGCATAGCTCTCTAGTCAGGAGCCTGTGTTTTTCCTGGAACTCGGGCAGGGACAGATTGCTACCTTGGACGACTGTCTTACAGCTTTCGTGCCCGGCGTGTTGGGGGCTGGCTTGTTCCCCTGGCTGGAGGTCTGTGCACTCCACGAGGAAGCTCCTTGATAATGTATGATGGCCTTCCCTCTGCCCAGTATCTCAGAGGGGATATGGGTTTAAGAAAGAGAGGCCATTTAGGGGTACTTATTTAAGAGGCCAGGCAGGAAGGAAGCCAGGAAACAAAGGAGGGAAGATAGAAAAGAGGCAGGAAGTGGCCTGAGAGCGAGGAAGGAAAAAGCTACACTGTTCATTCAAAAGCGGGAACATCCTGGGCTGTAACATCAGGCTGGGTCTGTTGAAATCTGTGGCTTGAGTAAATAGCCTAAAAGTAATTTTCTTTTTCTCTCTCTCTCTCTGTGGTGGAAAGCCAGAGCCGGCAGTCATATTGGACTTGATATAAACAGGAATTAGAATAAATAATGTCCGTTAGTTGCTCAGGGAGTTTTTCCTGTGGTGCTGTTTAAATTATACAGAACTTAAGACATTAAGCTACTCAAAAGCTAACAGAACAAAACAAAACCCCCCTCTTCTCCGATTCCCTTGTGGGGTATAAGTTGTCAGAATCCGGGGTTGGAAGAAGTATGTCAGTGATTTTTCATTCCTGCCAGGTTGTTTACTGGCTGAGAATCTGTCTTTTCTGTTGTCTGACATGTTTAAGGGAATAACTAATTTCAGTCCACCTGGACGTAAATCCATGACGACCTCTTCCAGCTCGAGCCTGAAGATAAGCAGCCATTAAGAACATTTGACAAACTGTTGAATGTCTTTAGTGTGCCTGTATGGTCTTCAAGATTCTTTCAAATATCCAAGTCCCGTAACTTCTCTCTCCAAAACAAACCCAGAACCATGTGGATTATAATTCATCAATTAAATTATGTGAATATGTTGAGTACTTAGACGTAATTCAATTATTTTTTATAAACAAGGATATTTCTCATGGAAAAAGCAATGAACAAGGCCCAATGTGCTTCCCAGTGTTCAAAATAAATTTAGGTGGTTGAATTTTCCTAAACTCGTAGTAATTATTGAGATCAGGGGCTGGGGATGGTTCACTGGGGAAAGTGCTCACTGTGCAAACATGAGAATCTGAGCTGAGATCACTAGTACCTACATAAAAGGCCAGGCATGGTGGTCCATACCTGTAATTCCAGTGCTGGCGAGGCAAAAACAGAAGGATCCCAGGAACTTGCCAAGTCACTGAGGTCCAGGTTTGGTGGGAGACCCCATCTCCTAAAGTGAGGGTGAGAACAACTAAGGAAGATCTCTAGCCTGCATGCACACACATGAACACATCCGCAAGACATGTTTACATGCATATACCACAAACAAAAATTACTGACATTATTATAGCGTCCCTAAGTTGGACCCCAAGTCAGATATAGCATTTTAAAAATGTACCAGTAGAAGTTTATCTAGCCTGAATTCTTTTGTTTGTTTTATTTTTTTTTTCTGAGCTATATATTTTCCTCCACTCCCATCCCTTCCTCCTCCCTCCCTTTCTACCCCCTCCCATGGTCCCCACACTCCCAATTTACTCGGGAGATCTTGTCTTTTTCTACTTCCCATGTAGATTAGATCTATGATTGTCTCTCTTAGAGTCCTCATTGTTGTCTAGGTTCTCTGGGGTTGTGAATTGTAGGCTGGTTTTTCGTTGCTTTATGTCTAAAGACACTTATGAGTGAGTACATCTGCTATTTGTCTTTCTGGGTCTGGGCTACCTCACTCAATACGTTTTCTAGATCCATCCATTTGCCACCCAGCCTGAATTCTGAAAGAACGGGATTCAACACACAGTTTATGTGAGTTCACAAACCTCTTCACGGGTTCCACTGGTCCCCTCATGGCCTCATTCTGGTGCTGATGTGAAGCCCAAGTTCCTTCACCTGTACAATGTCCTGATTCCTGGTAAATTGTATCATAAACAGAGGTCACTTACTTAGGGGCCATTGATGGCTGGACCACATTCTTACAAGAATGACTTCCCTTTGAAATTTAGACAAGAAGCTGTCCCAGGGTCTGGTTCACTGACTCTGTGGCAGTGGTCCTTAAGTAAATCAACTCTCAGGACTGTGCCTGGTTGGGGCGTGGTGGCCACTCTGCTCCTCTGGAGACCCAGAGAGCTCATTATCTCTCGTCTCCTGTGCAGCTTCCTCTTCTCCGGGCATTCGCAGCCACGGTACCCAGAGAGCCGGCCTGTGAGCTGTTTTGCCTGTTGTCGCTGTTCTTTTAGTAGCCTTCACAATTGATTACAGGTAACCCGCACTGCCTCCATCTAAGGCTTGTTTGTGTTTCAAAACTGGGAAACCCCAGATAATGCCAGCTGTTCTGTTAGGCAGCATACACGGGTCTCTCCAGTATGTTTTGACGTGTTCTGTGTTCCCAGCAGTTCAGTGCGGTGGCACCCCCACTGTCAGAAGAGGAGACGGTGGTTAGACCGCTAACACTGTAATACTGACTGGATGAGAAGCTGGGACCCGACGCAAGAGTCGCAGCTCCCAAGCAAAACCCGTGGGTTCTTGCTTTGGCTTCTCAGGACAGACTCAGCCGTGCTCTTTCTTCCTGGGTGATTCCTCGGTTTACCCACGGAAATGTAACTTCTACTTGGCTTTTGGCTGCCCTTCCCCTTCATCAGTATGCCCTTGCTCTGAAAACTGCCTTCTACCTGTGCAAGACTCAACGGAGCTCTTGTAATAGCGGCTCCCGGGAGCAGTTTCTCATCTCCACTGCCCGTGTCAGGAGTCCTGTCTCCGATAACAGCGTCTTTGGGGTTGGTTGGTTGGTTTGTTTGTTTGTTCACAGACATGTCATGAGCTTTCACTTATGGAATGAGAGTTACAAAACTTGAACCAACTGTAGAAGGGGAACGTAGGCTATGCCCCTCACAGACTGAACTGTTCCCATAATAAAGCCTGCTGATATGATCGGCGTCTGATCTCTCCTTCTTTGATAATATTTCTGGTTTAGGCTGACACAGGTCTCAAGAACTGGCCAGTGGCCCCAGGCCTGTGTTTCATGGGGAAACAGAGGCACAGCTCCTTGCTGCAGCCCGAGTCAGCAGAAGCCTGACTTCACCGTGTTCTTCTCAAGCTGCAGCTGGCACCGTGGCTGTGCTTAAGAGGGGACTTTTAATTTTCTCCTTTTACTTTGGCAATAAACACTTGGCTGTCTCCATCTCTGGGGTTTTTAGATGATGCTCACAGTTTGAGTTGCCAAATGAATGCGGATCCTGAAAGCTTCGGGGAAGAATTCATTACTCTTTGACGGGTTCTCAGGTTTGATGATGCTCCGTGCTTTTCCCAGAGCTCTTCTTGGCCCGGACACTGCAAACACTGTGGCTGTTCATCTCAAGTTCCTCCAGGCAACATCTGGGGCTTAGCATGTCCACAAAATGATGTTTCCCCAGCCCTCCAAGCGGGAGCCCCTGAGTACCTTCCAATCCACCCAGTCCCTCTTGCCCCTGCAGAACGGTTGCCAGGTGATGAATAACTGCCCTGGGGAGGGATAGGTGAAGTCATTTCTGGACTGTAGTCAATAACACTTTAGCTTCGGGCCGAAGCCAGAAAACTAAATACCCCTATCTAAGTGTTAATTCAAGAGACTACCTGAAGAGTTCTCGTGAAGAAGCAATGGCCCCTGGGCTTCACTGAGAACCACCTGTAATGGCCTAAGCGAGACGTGAAATGAGGTCACTTGAAATAAAGCCCTAAGAGGGGCCCTGGAGACTTGACATTAACATAATACAATCCCCAGATTGCAATGGGAACTGAATGTGAGCAGAAAGGGCTCTTGGGAGTCTCCGCCAGAGCTACAGCGGAGGACTTAAAATATGTCCCAACTGGGAACCTCTCTAGTCTCAGCCTTGTTTGTAACACAGGTATCCGGAACATAAATCTAAATCTAAACCAGGGAAAGTTAGTGAAATGTGACACTGCTGGACCAGAAGGTCGGAGTTTAGACAAATTATCTAAAAGGAACTGAGCAAAGACTAAGGTGGCCATTCCGATGTTTGATGTTGGTAAGCTGGCGTTAAGTAACTTCACACAGAGGTTTCTCACCTGGTGTGCTTCAGCTGGCCCTCGCCGCCCCTGACTGTAGAACCACCACCTCTACCCAAGGCACCACAGTTGTTACTGGGGGTGTGTCCTGTGTGTGTGTGTGTTTTAGACAAAATGATATTTCTAACAGACTATTTTGTAGCTAACTTTGTATAGAAACAACTATTGGTATATAAATCATATACCCTGCAACTCAGCTCTTTGAAGAATGCAACCATTTTAGTAAATTTACAGAACTGTTCAACCGTCAACACGATCCAGTTTTAAACATTTCCACCTTGTAGCCAACCTCTTCCCCTTAGTGCGCGGTGAACAGTGTCTCCAGGTGAACACAGACCTGTGTGGTCTCATGACACCCTGCCGTGTGGCTGTGGCACACCAGTACCAACACCGAGCCTTATGAAGGCTCCTTTTGACGCACTTGGCTCCTTTGCTGTTCCAGTCTTGCAATACAGTCCAAATATTTTCATAAATTCCTTCAAATGGATTTGCCCCGTCAAAGAGGTACTATATTTAATCCTAAAAGTCAAATTGCCAAATGCACAGACAGTTCTCTTCCCCTCAGCAGCACGGGCTTTGTTTATTTCCTCATGCCCTTGATAGCACTGCCTGGCCAGTCTTTTGTTGTCCAGCTATCTGATGAAAGAAATATGTTTTCCTTTAATATACAAGAATTCACTGAGGATCAGTATCTTTCATGTTTTATTGGCTTTTTTTTTTTAATCTCTTCTTTGAGGAGATGGCTGCTTGTCTTTTGAAATGTTAGTTCTTTTCTTTCAGTCTTTTTTGTTTACTTTTATGCTCTCGAGGTTATTAACACTTATCTTCATTTAAGCAGTACTAGTTTCTAAATTTGTTATAGTTTTATAAGGTTATATAATTTGTACCTATGGATTTGTAACTCAGTGAATAGCATAAAGTTCTTCTCACATCTGAATATCTTTAAGTGTTAATAAGTGCCATAGCTTGCTGGGAGATGGTGGTGCACGCCTTTAGTCCAAGCACTCAGGAAGCAGAGACAGGCGCATCTCTGTGAGTTCGAGGCCACCCTGGTATGCAAAGCAAGTTCTAGGACAGCCAGGGCTACACAGAGAGTCAGTATTTGTCTGTCTGTCCCTTCTCCTCCTCTTCTTCTCTCTCTCCTTTGTTCTCTCTCTCTCTCTCTTTTTCTCTCCCTCCCTCCCTCAATAAAAGTAAGAGCTCTCTGAACAATTACTAGGAACCTGTATTCTAAACTCTGTGATGTTGGAGATGGAAAGCCCCTTACTAGCAGGGAGGGCACGGTTTATTTTAAATTAAGGAGTTATTTGTAAGATAAGTCATCATCCTAACCTAATATTATTTTTAACTAGTCTTTATTAAGCTGGTGACCAAACTCTCCATTACAGTACAGCCTTGGCTCTTCTACAGTCTTGTCACATGGCTGAAAGCGAAATACTTTTCAAAAGATAAAGGAGTCTTACCAAATCTTCAGTCTAAAATACCTTTTTGTTGTTGTTTGAGACAGGGTCTTTCTAAGTAGCCTGAGGCTGGGTCCAAACTCAAATCCCTCTGCCTCTGCCTCCCTTGTGCTGGAACTGCAGGACTGTGCCACTGTGCCTGGCTGGGATGACCTTGTCACCTTGTCTCCCAGTCTCTTAGTACACAGACATTTATGTGTAATCAGCTTTGTTCTAATTTTTAGAATATTTGGTAGGAAAAAAAAAACAGTATTGAAATAGAACTCTTAAGATAAAAGGCTTTTTGACCTTCAAGCCATTTTCTGTGGAAAAGGCAAGACTTGACTCGGGTGCTAGAAGCATCTTGGAATCTAAGTGACAGGAAGAGGGACAAGACCCCAATCTCGCCCCAGCCTGTCTACCTGCATCCTTTGGTATCAGTGTCCCCAGCCCACATTCACACTCAGGTACACAGAGGAAACCAAGGTCAAGTCTTGCTTTACAGAAGGTGGGTAAGTCCCTGTATTGTGACGCCAGCCAGTAAATGTGCCACCGCAGGCCTGAGGGTCTCCATGCCGAGGGAGGTCAGCTTTTTGGAGAGGGGTAGGACAGGAAAATGGGCAGGTGGGGGACAGAAACAAGAGGCAGCAGAGGTGGCACACTGGGGACCTCATGGAGGATTTGGCAAACAAAATATCAGCTGCCTTCTATCCTTCCAGGCAGTGTCCCCGATACACGGCAGCTGATAAGTGTCCTTGGCTGGGCATTCAATCTTTATCGTCAGTAAATTATTTCCTTTCTCCTCAATGTTTTCTTCCAATGTAATTCCGTAGTGGGAGGTCTACACTTTGCTTCTAGTAATCTCTTTGACTAACCTGCAACATCACCTTTGGACAGCTGTGGCCACCAGGACTATTCTAGTCCATACTCTGGGCTACTGCTTTTGAAGATGAATGGCTACCACCAGCTAGACTGTTGCACATGCTAAATTCCTCTTCACCATGGGGTGCTAGGCATTCGGTTAGCAAGCTGGGGTCGTTGCCTGTACTATGCTAGGAACAGACCACCCCACTGCTCTTGAATGCAACTTCATGAGACCCTGGAATGCAAGGGAATTTAGGGGTCATCCACCCACAACATTTCCCTCGAGACTGGCAGGAACTAAATCACTTTTGTCTCAGCTAAAAAAGGCGAGCCCTCCATGTGCATCCACACTACAAGGTTCTTTTTCTTGTACAATCCAACTTTATTGGGTTGCCCGGGTGGGGCTAAGGAGAGAGGAGAGGCTGGGGGTAAAGGGTTGCTTTAATTGAGGTTTTTTGAGGCGTGGTCTATGATGGTCAGAAGGGCCAGCCATGTCTCCTCAGCTGTGGGGATGATCTGGGAGGCAGGCAGCAAGAAGCCTCTGAGCCCAGTGTCCCGCAGCTCAAAGGTGAAAGAATACTTGATGCCCTGGCTGTAGGTCCAGTCGATAGTGTTGCCACTGGCTTGATCTGGGGCAGGAACAAAGACAAGAGGCGAGTGTAAGGGCTGATCAGCCTTACAGGTATCTACGTGGACTGGGTTAGCACCCAAAGTCCAGGCCTTCTGTGATGCCAAATAGCGTCTGTGTCTTCTGGGGGCTGTAACTGACACACAGTGAGGCTTCCAGGAAACCCTTGCTGGGTCTAAACCCAAGAGACCGACATCCGGCAGTAATTGTCCTGTTCACTGAGGGGGCTGCCAAAAGTCTGTAATTGCAAAAACCTATCTGAAAACTGTCTTCACCCAACAGTCACCTCAGTGACACCTCTAAATATGCCAGAGCCCCATGCGTGGGGTAACCAGGAATTGATCTCCAGGGACTCTGGCCTGCAGAGGAAAGTGCAAAGAGTCTTCGGCAAGGCAAAGCCTCCTGTCTGTCTGTCTTCTGCAAGCGCAATCTCCCAGGTTTCCAGTACACACTGGCTGACAAAACTGCTTTTGTTGAACTGGGCTGTGGGAAAGGGAGGCGGGCTGCAAATCAGAATTTCACCGCAGAACACTAAATGCAGCAAAATCGTTGGATGCAGACTAGAAACCATCTCCAAAGAAAGCCTGAGATCCCAAACAAGTTCTGCTTTGGGTAAGATTGCAGCCCACTCCCCACCTAAGACCTGCGCCCCCTGGCAAGAGCGCATGCTCAGCGGGTGGAGCCGGTGCGCAGCTCTCTCACCTTGGCACCTGGGTCCCGCTTTGCTTGCCAGGCAAAAATTTTGATGCACAAAATTCCCCAAACACCCCACACCACATCACACAGCACAGCCTTTACTCTAGAAAGTTCTTCTGCCTGAAGGCCTATTACCTAGACAGATGGCCTGTCCTGGCTCCTCTTCGTTTCCTTCACCACCAGCCCAAATT